TGGTGCACACCTGTAATCCCAGCAACTGGGAGATTGAGGCAGGAGGATCACAAGTTCAAGGCCAGTCTCATTCAGCAACTTAGCAAGACCTTGTTTTGAAATAAAATATATAAAGGGTTGGGGATGTAGCTCAGTAGTGATGTGTCCCTGGGTTCAATCCCCGGTACGTACGTACATACATACATACATAAATAAATAACAGCATTATACTTTCACACTTCCCAGGCTCCAAAACCCTGAACCAAAATAAACCTCTCTTTTTATAAATTTCTAGGCTCCATTATTCTACTATAACAATGGAAAACCAAAATCAACAGCATTTTAAAGAGATTGTTCATTATGATAAAGTGAGAGTTACCCTAAGGATACAAGAATGGTCAAAATATGCAAATCTATAAATACGATACTCCACATTAACACAATGAAGCAAAAAACCCATGACTATCTCAACAGATTTTGAAAAATATTTGACAAACTTCAATCCCTTTCCTGATAAAATCCTCTCAACAAATAAGGTAGTGAAGTATTGTACCTCAACATAGTAAAGACCATAGACAATAAAAACCACAGCAAAATTCATATGCAACAGTGAAAAATTGAAAGCTTTTCCTCTAAAATCAGAAACAAGGCAAGGATGCCCCCTCTTGCCCCTTCTATTCCACAGAGTACCAAAAGTAACTCCCAGACAGAACAATAAGGAAGGAAAAAGAAATAAAAGGCATCCAAATTGGAAAAGAAGTAAAATTGTTATTGTTCGAAATCAATATGACCATAGAAGTAAAACTGTCATTGTTCACAGTCAATATGACCATAGGTACAAATTAATCCTAAAAACTGATGAAAATTTCAAAAAGCTTCAGAACATAAAATTTAACATACAAAATCAGTGGTATTTCTTTTGGGGGGGTGAGCAAGGTAATGGTAAACTAACCCAGGGGATGACTTTTCTATACACTCTATACATCAACATCTAAAAAAGAAATAAAGAAAACATCCCTAAGGCTGGGGATGTAGCTCAGTGATAAGAGCACTTGTCTAGCATGCAAGAGGTCCTGGGTTCAATCCTAAGGGAGGGAGGGAAGAAGAAAAGAATTCCACATATAATAACTACAAAAAAGTAAAATGCTTCAGAATAAATTTTTTGTTGTGGTTGTTGGAAAAAACTTCCCTTTTGTTCAGATAGAACCCTCCTGACCTGTAGCTGCTTCAGAATAAATTTTGATTTTGTTTTCCGAGATAGGGTCTTACCTCAAATTTCTGGACTCAGGCAATCCTCCTGCCTCAGGTTATAGCTAGGACTACAAGCACACACCACCATACCCACTTTCAGGAATAAATGTAATGAACCAAGAAGGTTGCTGTGGTTTGAATACATGTTTTTCCCTCTGAAACTCAAGTGGAAGCTTGATTTTGCAGCAGTGTTGGATGGTGGGCATTGGGTCATGGAAGTAGAGGTCTCGTGAATGGATTAATACCTTTCTTGGATGAGTGAGTTCTCACTCTCACAGAATCACATTAGTTCCTGCAAGAACAGGCTGTTGTTAAGCGAGTCCACCTCTGTATTTTGTCTTTCACCGGCACCTGCTTGTCCTCCTGCTTTCCAACATGAGTTGAAGGAGCATGAGGCCCTCACCAGAAGCTAAGTAGATGCCAGCATTATACTTTCACACTTCCCAGGCTCCAAAACCCTGAACCAAAATAAACCTCTCGTCTTTACAAATTTCCAGGCTCCAATATTCTATTATAACAATGGAAAATAGATTATGGCAGAGGTAAAAAGACCTAAATGCTGAAAACTACAAAATTCTGATAAAAAAAAAAATTGAACAAGACACAAATAAATGTAAAGATATCCTGTGTTCACAGATTAAAAAAAACTGGTATTGGGACTGGGGTTGTGGCTCAGCCATAGAGCGCTCGCCTAAAGCGTGCAAGGCCCTGGGTTCAATCCTCAGCACCACATAAAAATAAATAAATAAATAAAGGCATTGTGTACGACTAAAAGAAATTAAAAAAAAAAAAAAGAAAGAAAGAAAAACTGGTATTTTAAAAATGTCCATACTTCTCAATCTATAGATTCAATGTGATTTCTATCAAAATTCCAAAGACATTTTTTATAAAAATAGAAAGCAATGCTAAAATTCTGGAGAGCCAATCAAATATTATGCAAACAAAGCTGAAGCATCACACTACCTGGCTTAAAAATATACTACAAAGCTACTATAATTAACATGGTATTGACATAAAAACAGATATACATATAAATGTATCTGAATATACAGCCTAGAGATAAATCCACACCATTTACAGTCAACTGATTTTTGACAAAGATGCCAAGAACACACAATAGGGAAAGTACAGTCTCTTCAATAAATGATGTTAGAAAAATAGGATATTCACATACAGAAGAATGAAAATGGATTTCTACCATACACCAATATCAATTTAAATGGATTAAAGACTTAAATGCAAGACCTAAAACTGGAAGACTACTAGAAGAACACAGGGGGAAGTTCCATAACATTAGTCTGGAGTATGAGTTTTGGGATATGAACTCAAAAGCACAGGCAATAAAAGCAAAAATAAGTCAGGCATAGTAGTGCACACCTGTAATCCCAGTGGCTTGGGAGGCTGAGGCAGGAGGATTACAAGTTCAAAGTCAGCCTCAGCAACTGAGTGAGGGCCTGATTAACTTAGCGAGAGCCTGTCTCAAAATAAAAAATAAGGACTAGGGATGTTGCTCAGTGGTTAAGAGCACCTGAGTTCAATCCCTGTTACCACCCTCACCCCCCAAAAAAATAGACTAATGGAACTTTATCAAACTAAAAACCTATTGCACAACTAAGGAAACCATCTGCAGAGTGAAAAGACAATCTATGGAAGAAAATATATGTATCTGAGGAGTTAATATCCAAAATACATAAGGAACTCAACTCCATAAAAAAAACAACCCAATTAGAAAATGGGCAAAGTATGTGAATAGATACTTCTTTTAAAAAAGATGTATACATGGCCAACAGATAGGTTTTTAAAAGTTCAGCTTCACTATATCAGAGAAATACAAATTAAAACCACAATAAAATATCCCCTCACATCTGTTAAAACAGCTATTATTAAGTCATAGCGTAGGGCTAGGGGTTCAGCTCAATGGTAAAGTATCTGCTTAGCAAGCACCAGGCCCTGAGTTTGATCTTTAGCACAAAAGAAAAAAATAAATAAATAAATGTTGGAATGTTGGAGAGGATGTAGAGAAAAAGAAACCCTATACACTGTTGGTGGAAATGTAAACTGGTACAGATACTATAGAAAGCAGTATGAAGGTTCCTCAAACTATTTAAAAAATGAACTACCAGGGCTGAGACTTGCCTCACATGTGTAAGGCACTAGGTTCAATCCTCAGCACCACATAAAAATAAGTAAAATAAAGGCATGCTGTCCATCTACAACTACAATAAAGAAAAAGAAAAGAAAAGAAAAGGAAAGAAAAGGAAAGAAAGAAAGAAAGAAAGATAGATGATCCAGCAATCTCACTACTGGGTATATATCCAAAGAAAAATTAAATCAGTGAGTCAGATATTTGCACTCCTGTGTTCATCGCAGAATTATTCACAATAGCCATGATTACTGAATCAGCCTAAGTATCCATCAACCAATTAATGAATAAAATACAATTGCAATGCTATTCAGCCTTTAAAAAGAGAGAAATGTTGTCATTTGCAACAACATGAGCAAACCTGAAAGACATGTTTAGTGAAATAAACTAGGCATCAAAAAATAAATGCCACATAATCTCAATCACATGAAGAATCTAAAAAAGTTGAACTCAGAATGATGGTTAACAAAAGCTGGTGGGGGAAGGGTTGGGAGATGTTGGTCAAAGAACACAAATTCTCGTGGGAATAAGTTCAAGATATCTATTGTATACATGATGATTATAGTTAATAACGATGTGTCATATTCTTCAAAATCACTGATTTTTTTAAGTGTTCTCACCCAAAAAAATGGTGTGAAGTAATGCATATGCTAATTAATTAAATGTAGCCATTCCATAATATATACATATTTCAAAACATGCTATATACAATAAACATGTACTTTTTTTTTTTTTTTGATAATGGGGATTAGACCCAGGGGCGCTCAACCACCAAGCCACAACCCCAGGCCTTTTTTGTATTTTATTTAGAGACAGGGTCTCACTTAGTTGCTTAGCGCCTTAGTTGCTGAGGCTGGCTTTGAACTCACAATCTTCCTGCCTCAACCTCCTCCAGAGCCAATGAGATTACAGGTGTGGGCCACCGTGCCCAGCCTATGTACAATTTTTGTCAAGTAAATTGTGAATATGAAAAAAAGAAACTTTTAAGCTAGAACATAAAGTATGGAAGAGAAATTTAAATGGCAAAAAACTTACAAAAAATAAATATACTTAAGTATAGCCTATAAAGACTATAAATCTCAGAAAGCAACAATCACACACCCTGTCCCCAACTTCATAAACACTAAAAAACGGAGTTATCAAGGGAGAAGGCATGGTGTAAAGCTAGGTGTAAAAAAACACTCACTCTCTCTAAACAGCAGATGGAAAAAGAGGGTAATCAAAGAAATTAAATAAGTAGGAAGATGGGAAAGGCACTCGAGCCCAGAATAAACAAGCACAAATAAACAGAGCTTCAGATAGCCTCATCAGCAAATGAGTAGTTAGTCTTCTTTAATAAAGTAACATGAGTAATTCAGGTCAGAATAAAGTCATTAACCTTATCCAAAAATAACTTCCACCTGCAGAGAATAGCTACTGACTAAAAGAGATTGAACCTCTTTATAGACACAGGCAACCTGGAAGCAAGAGCTCTTCTGGATAGCAACTAGAAAACTAGGACACTTATACAATGTGATACAAAAATCGGGCCTATTACAACTCTTTAACAATCAGACGTCTAACTTATGCCCTCCAACAAATAGTTCAAAGCAATCCAGGAACTGTTATTTGGCATATGGAAGCCTACCTGATGGTGGTGAGGAGAGGAATCTGGGAAGAAATACAGCTGCTGTCAAAGACTCTGCAAAATAACATGAACCAGATAGATTTTTATTACTTCTGGAAATTTTCCTGAAATAGCATCAGTGTATTTAACAAGACATTCATTGGTTTGTTGTATTAACTATAATTATTTTAAAATATATATATATCATATTCTAACCTCAGCAGATATACTGAACTAAAAGAATATTATAAAATTATAAGGAATATTATAAAATCCAGTATTTATGGATTTATGTGGAGATATTTAAACTAATACTCCAAACTTAAAATGAACATTCTAAAGTGATAATCTGGACTCAAACTATATTTGGATTCACAATGAGACATACACAGGGATGTGATTTGAAAATGCAAATTCCCTTAAAGTATACACATGTATCAAGAGCAATTTCCCTACAAAACTCATCAGTTGAGGGCCTGATATTATCATTTCCAGGTGCTGAAGGGCCAGCACCCAAAGAGTCCAGAAGCCTCCACTAAGTACTGTGCCAGAAGGAAACCAAACACATCACTACCATCTCCCCTTTTCATTTTGCTTAACTATTACAATGTACTTACTCCACACTAGAGCTTCTTGCCTAGATTACTAGAAAGCCAAATCATTAATGGTTAATGTAACAAAAGTAAACTTGTCAGTGTAAATGAACAAGAATGGGACAATAGGTAGCTCAAAACTAAAGAAACTGCACTGTGGAAATAGGACACAGGGGTGCCATTCCCTAGTGACTCTCTTACTTCATCTCTTGGTAATGCTCATATACTGTGCTAGAAACTAACTGGGCACCTGTCACACATTGCAGACCATGCTTTTCCTAATGGGTGCCATTCCATAAACTTCCAACCAGAAATAAAGTGCCATATCTGAGCCTGACTCATGGTATATATTCAACAGATATTTGTTGAAAGACTTTTCTACTTTGGTTCAACTGATTTTAAAATCAATTTTTAGGAAGTAGCTTTAGAAAATACCAAAGCCAAAATCCTAGAACCATATCCACAAGTTTATAAATAAGCCAAATTTTTGCTATGTTTTCTGCCTGCCCATGGTCTGGGACTATACAATTTCCATTCAACAATTCACCTGTAATGTAGAACCTATGCCACAAAGTAAGAGCTTCTCCCTATGCTAAAATTATCTCCTTTCCAAGAGGACACACAACCTGGTTTCATTGGGATTTGAGGGCTGCTTCAGTGTTGAAAAGAAAGCTTGACCATCAATTCCCCAGGGTAGCTATAGACCTTTTCCAATCTCAAGGAAATCTCCTAGACCCCAAAACTGCTGTGAAACCATTAAGTATATGGTTTCTGTGAACCTCAATATGGCCACAAAATAGTAACCCTAGCGATTAAATAGGAACAACAGTAAATTAAGTGTCTCCTTTACCAACACAATAGCTACAGACTCTTCAGATTCCTTAAACCCATATTTCTGCCTTCTGAATTTACCTCAGCTTACAATCAGCACATGTGGTCACTACTCTGTTACCAGTAACAGGTGAAAAATAGGCAGAAGCAATGCTCTTTGTGTGTTCAGTCAAAGAAATCAAAGGCTGGCTTCCCCTGAGTTTCAGGTGCCTGACGTCATAAATATGAATATCCCTGTAATGAGAGGAAGAATTATTAGTGTTGCCAGAATACATGTAATGAGCCTCTAGAACAGGGTTAAACATAAGTTAGAAACTCAAATACTTGCTACATGGAATAACATTTAAGACATAACCCCTAATTCGGTTTTAATTTTAAAGTTATTGATACAGATGAAAAGTAAAATATTAGAAAAATTCAAAAATTAGAGCAGATACCTATAACCTGCATGTACAGAATTGGTTTTTCAATCTCTCCAAGAAAAAAGGCAACACAGATTTTTTAATCTCTCCAAGAAAAAAGCCAAGTTACAGATCACATACAATTTTATTTTATTTTTGTTTGTTTTAGTGCCAGAGATTGACCTCAGGGACACTTCACCACTGAGCCACATCCCCAGCCCTTTTTTGGATCTTATTTAGAGACAGGGTCTCCCTGAGTTGCTTAGCGCCTCACTAAGTTGCTGAGGCTGGCTTTGAATTCACGATTCTCCTGCCTCAGCCTCTTGGGATTACAGGCATATGCCATCATGCGCAGGTTATAAAAATTTTCTTCTCATAAAACTAGAAATAAATGCATATGCATATGGTGCCAATGAAAACAAAAATGTATATTTCTTTCAATATTTTCACTATTTATTAAATCCAAATGAATTTCTCATTTAAAAAAAAAAATCTCACTCAAGAAAAGCCCCCATTAGTGAAGAAAGGAAAATTATTTGGCCTTTGTGTATCACAAAAGTCAGATGTGTTTGACAACCAAACTAAACCATGTATTCATGGCATGAAAAGGACTAAATCTGGGCTGGGGTTGTGGCTCAGCGGCACAGCGCTCGTCTAGCATGTGCAAGGCCCTGGGTTCGATCCTCAGCGCCACATAAAAATAAATAAATAAAATAAAGGCATTATATCCAATTGCAGCTAAAAAATAAATATTAAAAAAAAAAGGACTAAATCATTACATTTTCAGAAGAACATACCTCAACCCTGCAGTCATGAAATACTGTCTGTGCACTGGGTGGACATGAACAGTTCTTATTTTTCTCAAAGAAGAACGAATTAGTTTCTCAAAAGAAGTTCCAGGTGTCCGTCTATCCACCAGTGACATATTTCCATCCCAGTGTCCCACTAGTAAAGTGGAAGCATCTTCTGTCAAGAAGTCAAAGGAGGAAAAGCCACTTCTTTCATTTCTATATACCTAAAGATATAAATAATAATCACTTCTACAACACTCTTAAAATCAATGCACAAATTCTTAGTAAAAGATTATAAGACAGTTTACTCAAATAACCTCATTTATCTACACAGGAAGCTCAGGACAAAATGGAAACAAAGGTGGTGATCAACTCAGAGGCTCACCTACAATCAAATGGTTCATCTACCCATATCCTAAATCTCTTAAACCCAATAAATCTTAGTTCCTGATCTACCCTGTGAAATTTACCGGAAAATAACTAAATATGAATTCTATCCAGCTGAAATTAAATCTCAATATAACAAGTAACTTTGCCAACAAAGTCCAAGATATGTGGTAGCATATTCATCAGATTAAAATTCTTGACAGTTAATCAGGCTATGGATCGAAAGTTCTAGATCAGCTGCAGCAACTTAGTGAGACCCTGTCTCATAATAAAAATAAAATAAAGAAGCGCTGGGGATGTAGCTTGGTGGTAAAATGTCCCTAGGTTCAATCCCCAATACAAAACATAAATGAATGATAAAACCTACATCTAAAATTATCCTAAAGTTCATGAAGATTCAAATCCAAATTTTAAAAGTTCAAATTGTAAGAATTCTCTTACTGAGGATATCTGGCATGGTTAAACAAATCTGAAAATTCATCTTAAATAATATTATTAAATGGATATTTAAGTAGTAGACCAAAATATGAACAATGAGATCCAAATATTTTGTTCAGACCTTGGGAGTTTCAGACCTGTCACACCAGAAGTCAAATAGATTAGAAAATCTCCAAGCAGTAGTCTGATAATCTAGGCTGTGTCTGAGGGAGGATTCATGAGTATCATTCAACTTAAATTTTTTTTTTTTAAAGAGAGAGGGAGAGAGCGAGAGAGAGAATTTTTTTAATATTTATTTTTTAGTTCTCGGCGGACACAACATCTTTGTTTGTATGTGGTGCTGAGGATCGAACCCGGGCCGCACACATGCCAGGCGAGCGCGCTACCGCTTGAGCCATATCCCCAGCCCTCAACTTAAATTTAAGCAGACTTAAACTTTAATCTGACTAGCACAGTTTAAACCAGCTCAGGAAAAAGACTTACCAAGAGGTAATTACAAATAAACTTGGCCCAAGGTATTCTGAATAAAAACCCCTTGGGTCTCTGCTTCCTGCACAGTATAGCCAATAGCAATTTTCAATTCTAACCTCACCAGATCAGAACAGCTGGGCTAAATGCTTCATCATCATATTAGAACACACAAGACCTGTTAAATCTGGGCTGAGGATGTGGCTCAGTGTTAGAATACCTGACTAGCATGCCCTGGATTCAATCCCCAGCACCAAAAAAAGAAAGAGTCAAGTTAAATCTTAGCTAGAAGGTTAGGAAAAATCAAATTTTTAGGCCAGACACAGTGGCACACTTCTCTAAACCCAGCTAAGAAGCTGAGGCAGGAAGATTCCAAGTACGAGGACAGCTTGAGCAATTTAGCAAGACCCTGTCTCAAAATTTTAAAAGGGACTGGAGATATAGTTTAGTGGTAGAGCACTCCATGGTTCAATCCCCAGCATCACAAAAACAAATTAAAAAATACATTTTATAATTTCTGTATTATATTACACACCAGAAATTTTAGATATGCATAATATATTACCATTATGTGGGTAATTTTTCTATTGTCCTTTTTGTCAGGTATAAGACTCATTCCTACAAAGTTCATGTCTGAAGGGCAGGATGGATAAACAAAAGAAAAATATTCCAGTGTTTTCCCTCAAAATTAAGAAGTTATTTTACTTAAAATTCTTTCTGCAAATAATAACAGTGAATATGAATAGTCAGGAGTGGTAGTATATACTTGTAGTCCCAGCTACTCAGGAGGCTAAGGCAGGAGGATGGTATGAGCCCAGAAGTCTGGGGCCAGCCTGGGCAACAGAGTATAATCCTGACTCTTAAAAAATAAAAAAAAAATTTTAAAAATAAAAGCAAACACTATGTGCCAGTCTTGGTCCTAAATACTTTATCTGTATTCACTCCTTTAATCCTTCTGACAACCCTATAAAGTAGACACTATGACTATACCATTCCATAACTATGGAAATTGAGACACAAATAATATCACACAACTAGTAATAGATGGTCTGAGTCTTGAACTTAGTCCTTAGGCTGTACTACTTTTCAGTCTGATATAAAAATCACTCATGTGGCCGGGCACAATGGTACATGCCAACGACTAAGGAGACTGAGACAGGAGGATCACAATTTCAAAGCCAGCCTCGGCAAGTGCAAAGCAACTCAGTGAGACCCTGTCTCTAAAGGAAATACAAAATAGGGCTGGAGATATGGCTCAGTGGTCGAGTGCCTATGAGTTCAATCCTCAGTACAAAAAAAAAAAAAAAAAAAAAAAGCACTCATATAGCATTTCATGGAGAATCCAGAATATCATTGGATGTCAACATATAAACAAATTAACATTTACCTCTTCAAAAATAGCTCTGGAAAAATCCCCACATCGTAATGTGCCATCATAGCTCAGTGACAGTAGGTGGGCTGGATTGGCAGGTGAGAAGTAAAGACAGCTAACAGGTTGACTATGGGGATAAAAAACATATGCTCCATCTTCTTTTCTTTGCTGGGTCTGGAAGAGGTGGAAGTTGAAAAAGAGATTAAAAACTAGTGAAAAGTACATATTTACTATGTTATTATGTAATTAAAGTATTTACATCTGGATTATATTGTCTTTTTTAAGTCTATAACAGCATCCACTTACCATTCAAATAGTCAGAATTAGGAAATGACATTAAATTATTTTCTTTTATCATTTTCTGATAGTTTTAATTTTCTTACAATTTCATTTTCTTCTTATAATTTTCAAATCAACAATACCAAATCACATTAATTTTAAGTGTCCAGCTTTTCACAAATAGCAAACTAGTTTCTTTACAATAGTGGGGGCAGCGTGGGGGTGGGGGGAACAACACAAATAGCACGCAGATCACTGCTTCTGCCAGGCATGGTCACATGAACCTGTAGCCTTAGCACTCAGGAGGCTTAAGCAAGGGGATCACTTGAGCCCAGGAGTTAAGAAACCAGCCTGGGCAAGATTGTTTCAAAAATTAACTTTTTAACTACCTTTTTTTTTTTTTAATATTTATTTTTTAGTTTTTGGCGAACACACTTATTTGTACGTGGTGCTGAGGATCAAACCCGGGCCGCAAGCATGCCAGGTGAGCGCGCTACCGCTTGAGCCACATCCCCAGCCCTTAACTACCTTTTTTTAATTAATTTTTTTATTTATATATGACAGCAAAATGCATTAAAATTTATATTACACATAAAAAGCACAATTTTTCATATCTGGTTGTATACAAAGTAAATTCACACCAATTCATGTTTTCATACATGTACTTTGGACATCATATTCCACCATCACTTTTAACCCCATGCCCCCTCCCACCCCTTTGCCCTATCTAAAGTTCATCTATTCCTCCCATGCTCCCCCCTCCCTACCCATGAATCAGCTGGGTCAAATGGTGGTTCCATTCTCAATTTTCCAAGAAATCTCCATACTGCTTTCTATATGGGCTGCACCAGTTTGCAGTCCCACCAGCAGTGTATGAGCATACCTTTTTCCTCACATACTCGCCAGAACATCCAAGAATTATGGGACAGCATCAAAAGTTAATTTTTAAGCATCTCAGAAGGCTAAGACAGGAGGGTTATAAGTTCAAAGCGACCCTCAGCAAAAAGCGATGTGCTAAGCAACTCAGTGAGACCCTCTAAACAAAATGCAAAATAGGGCTGGAGATGTGGCTCAGTGGTTGAGTGCCCAAGTTCAATACCTGGTATCCACGCCCCCCAAAAAAATGTTTTTAAATCATACTTATTATGACTTCACAAGATGAAATCCCCAGGAAATTAGAAATATACTCTTTATTTCACATATGACATTAATTCATTACTATAGTATATCAATATCATTAACACTTTGCTTTCTAAGTAGGCTTATAATATTAACATTATTCTCAGTATAATTTTTTTTTTAAACATGGGGTCTCATTATGTTGCCCAGGCTGGCCTCCAACTTTTCATAAGGTATTTGGTCCTGGCAGAAAAATTATAGTTTTAAAAGTATTTTGTCTACTAAATGCACAATGAAAATTCACACATTTGAATTTCCATATTAATATTACTACATCTAAGGATTAGCCTTTATTCAATTGGATTACTAACTCCTAAGAAGTCATTTTTCAGATTTGGGTTCCTATACCATATAGCATATTATAAACCAGAGCAATGATTATTTCCAAATCTGGCTTAGTCTGCTCTGAAATAGTCAATTTTGGTTTTTATTTTTTAGAAAATATTATTTTTAATATTTATTTTTAGTAGTGTAGTTGGACATAATACCTTTATTTTATTTATTTATTTTTATGTGGTGCTGAGGATCAAACCTAGGTTCTTGCACATGCTAGGCGAGTGCTCTACCTCTGAGCCACAACCCCAGCCCTTGGTTTTTATTTTAAATTTTAAAATTAAGAAAAAAAATCTTTTTTTTTTTTTTTTTTTTTTTACAAGGAAAAGAGAAAGAAAAGGAAAAAAATTACAATCACACACATTCTCCTATGAAAAGTTAACAACTGTTGACATCTTGGCATAATGTTTATAACATTTATTTTCTAGAAAAACAGATCTATCTATTGTTATAAAGAACTAAAATGGGCTAGGCATGGTGGCACACATCTGTAACCCCAGCACCTTGGGAGGCTGAGACAAGAAAATCACAGGTTCAAAGCCAGCCTCAGCAACTTAGCAAGGCCATAAGCAACCTAGTGAGACCCTATCTCAAAATGAAACAAAAAAAAAAAAAAAGGATTGGGTATGGAGCTCAGCAGTTAAAGCACCCTGGTTTAATCCCCAATACAAAAAAAAAGAAAATACAGAAATGTACAAAGACGAAAATTCAAAAAAAAAAAAAAAAATCACTACAAATCCAAAATATCAAGATTTTAAAAAAAATATTGAGTGAGGATTACAAATATCTTTATACAGAGGTTGGGGATTTGAGGTATCCCCCAAAAGCTCATGTGTGCAGCAATGCAAGAATATTTAGAGGTAAAAGGACTGGGTAATCAGAGCCTTGACCTAATAAGTGTGTGACAGGGATTAACCTAGTGGTGATGGTAAACAGGGAATGTGTGGCTAGAGGTGTTGGGTCCTTGGGGTAAACCTTAGGGGGTTCAAATTTTATCCCTGGAAAGTAGTCTCTCTCCACTTCCTGGTGCCATGTCCCCAGCTGCTTTCCTCTGATATAGCCTTCTGCTATGATGTTTGCCTCATCTTGGGCCCAGAAGAATGGAGTAGACCACATGCAGACTGAAACCTCTAAAACCTTGAGTCTCAAAATCCTCTATATTCTTGTCAAGTCTTTTGGTCACACAGCAAAATAGTTAACTAAAACACCTGGCATGAGTTGAGACCCTGGGTTCAATCCCCAGTACCCACCCCACCCCCAAAAAAAGAAAAACAATACAGAAATGCACAAAGATGAAAATTTTTAAAAATCATTACAAATCCATTACAAATCTTGATTTTTTTATCAAGAAAATATTGTGGGCTCGGGCTGTGGCTCAGTGGTAAAGTGCTTGCCTAGCATATGTGAGGTACTGGGTTCTATCCTCAGGACCACATAAAAATACATAAAATAAAGGTATCACCTACAACTAAAAAAAAACAATTAAAGAAAATATTGAGTAAATATTGAGTGAGAGTTACAGATTTCTTTATACAGTCCTATGCAGACAGCATGACAGAGACAATGAAGAAACTTCGGAAAAATAGGACCATGCTGTACATGCCATTTTTTAATAGTATTGAATTCAACTATACTTCAAAATAACAAAAGAAAATGAAGCTAAGGAAATTTCTGAACTTCAGATAATTCTTCACAAGATATATTGTCTCCTATAAAGGAAAAAATGTAAAATATAAAGCAGCTATAGTCATTACACTTTTTATTTATTCTATTTTTTTTTTTTGGAGTGGGAGGGGTTACGGGGATTAAACCCAGGGATGCTTAACCATTGAGCTACATTCCCAGCCCTTTTTTGTATTTGATTTAGAGACAGGGTCTTGCTGAGTTGCTTAGTGCCTCACTAAGTTGCTGAGGCTGGCTTTGAACTTGAGATCCTCCTGCCTCAGTTTCCCAAGCCGCTGGGATTAACAGGCATGCATCACTGTGCCTAGCTGGTTTTGATCCTTATGCTTAAACTAAAAAAAAAAAAAAAAAAAAAAAAAAAAAAAAATTTAGGAGTAGAAAACCTTAGGGAAAAAATTGATAATGAACATTCAATTCACTTAAATGCTGAACTATTATTAAATGTTAAACAGCCATAGGAATTATGGTTGTAGAACTCAGTATAAATGTTATCAGGGTAGATAAAAATAATATAATAAAATATGGGAATGTAGAAAGGGTGGTTAGAGAAAGACAGAGAATAATGTTCTTAACCAACAGAAATTAGCTAAAAGTGAGAGATTAAAAAATAAAAAGTGTGCCAGGCACAGTGGTGAATGCCTGTTAATCCCAGCGGCTCTAGAGGATGAGGCAGGAAGATCGTGAGTTCAAAGCCAGTCTTAGCAATTTAGTGAGGCACTAAGCAATTCAGTGAGACCCTGAAAAAAAGAGAGAGATCAAAACCAGGGCCTTAATATGTGCTAGGCAAGCAGAATACCACTGAGCTACATCCCCGATCTCATTACTAAATTCTTAATCTTGATTTACTATTTTTTTTTCATTTTTTAGCAGTACTAGAATTGAACCCAAGGCCTTATGCATGCTAGTCAAGTGCTCTACCATTGAACTACAACCCCAGCCCATTTTATTTTGAGACAGAGTCTAAGTTACCTCGCCTGGCCTCAAATTTTTGACTCTTCTGCCTTAGCCTCCCAAGTGGTAGGGTTGATTTGGCCAGAATTTGCTGCCAAACATTTTTCCAGAGAAACTCATGAGTCTTGAATTTTTTCACATATTTCTTTAGGTTGTTGTTTTTTATTTTATTTATTTTTTTATCTACCTTCTGCCATTACACAAAAACAATTTCTTTAGCTGGATAAGTATTCCAGGGCCATATGTCTTTCTCTCAGAACTTTATAATATTGTATAGAAAACTGAGACAAGCCAGGCTCTTCATACTGAATTTGTTTTTTTGTTTGTTTGTTTTGTTTTGTCTTAGTTACATGTGGGCACAATATCTTTATTTTGCTGAGGATCAAACCCTGTGCATCACATGTGCGAGGCAAGCACGCTACAACTGAGCCACAACCCCAGCCCCTTGAAATTTTTTTTTTTTTTTTACCTGAAGATTTCTTTATCCATTAAGTTACAAATTTCTCTAGAACATGGGATCACCTTCAGCTGCCATTCAATTCTATCTTCATTTCAGGAAAAGTTCTTTTTCAATACACTCAGTTTCATTTGTTGGGTCATCTTTGACTGTCTTTCTATTGGCTTCTCTAAGCCTTTTTCATCTGTGGTTGAGTATCACAAATCCTTCCTATAATGTCTCCAATTTGATTTTCTGTAATAGCTATTCTGTTCCTTGCTCTCACCTAATATTAGTTTCATTAATCTTCAATCTGTTTCCTTTGTTTTACAATCTTCTTTTTCATCTCATTCTGTTAATTTTATCATCTTGCCTTTCAGCTTTATTTTTGCTGAATTAATGTTCTTACTAATTTGTTCCAAAGAAGTGCTGGTCAAAAGAACTTTCTAAGGTGACCAAAATGATGTGGCTATGTGCCTGAGAACTGAACTTTCAATTTTAATTAGTTTCTCAAAATAAGAAAAATTAAAAGGGCTGGGGATGTAGCTCAGTGGTAAAACACCTCTGGGTTCAATTTCCAGTACCAAAATTATAAAAAAACCCAGATATTTATTTCTCAAGTCTGATGATTTGGCAATCCAAAATCCAGGTTCTGGATCATTTGGTTATCTACCAAAGGCCTACTTTCTGGTTTCTGGATGGTCCCTTTTAGCTCTGTCCCTGTGGAAGATGAAAGGGGTCTCTACTGGGTTTCTTTTATAAGGGCAATAATCCCATGCATGACCTACTCACCTCCCAAGGCCCCACACCTCCTAATATCATCACTTTGGGGATTAGGAAGTCATCATATGAATTTAAAGGGGGATACAACATTTAGATCACAGTAGATCATATTTTAAACGTAATTTAAAAACTATGAATTTTATGTGACTTTTTCACATATACATTTAAAGCCTCCTGGCAGTTAATTTATGCCCAGATGGCTAATGATATTCAAGCTAAAAATGTTAAAGTTCTATAAAAACAAATTTAATTCCTCTAGATTTCTAAAATTTAGAATCATAAAGCAATTCTATCTCAAATTATAGGTATAAATGAATGTCTCTCAGCTAGTCTTCTTAAGACTATTTGCTTCAGTCAAACTTGAATACCTTAAAAAAAAAGAAAGAAAGTAATAAGAACTTACCAAATCCCAAAGTCCAATTTGCCCACTTTTGGCCCCAGCTGCTACCAAAGTTCTAGTTTCTGATGGGTGGAGAGCCACAGAGAATATTGAGCCATTGGTAACTTTATGAACAGCATCTTCACTAATAACCATTCCATTTAAATTGGCTTTGTAGCTACAAAATTAAAATGTTACATTTTAAAAGTAAAACAAATCTCAATAGTCAAAATAAGTAAAAGATGATTCAAAAAAGAAAGTCATAGTAAATAAATGTTGGAAAATATTCAACCTCCTGATTAACTGAGGAAATAAAATAGTGAGGTACCATTTTTGAATTATAAAATTACCTTTAATAATTTTAATGATGATATCAAAAACCAGGAGGCCACAGATAAACATACATACTCAGGCTAGGGCTGTAGGCTCAGTGATAGAGCACTGCCCCACACATGAGGGTCAGGATTTGATCCCAGCACTGAAAAATTTTAAAAATATAAACACACACACACTCACATGTATTGCTAGTTTTAGAGTGAGTTCATATAAGATTTTCAGGAGGGGGAAAAAAAGATTTTTGGAAAATGATTTAATAGTGTGTACTAAAAGCTATTAAAAAAATTCCACAATATCTGACTCATTAGACCCACTTCCAGAAATCTATTCTGAGAAAGTAATCCACTGTCATAGAAACACTTCAACAAATATTATACAATTACACAAAACTAAATGGAAAATAACCCCCAATACTAAATAGGCAGAAGGCAGTTAAGGAAAAATTTCACCTACTCAATGAATTATTATGCAATTATTTAATAATTTTAAAGACTTGGGCTGGGGATGTGGCTCAAGCGGTAGTGCGCTCGCCTGGCATGCGTGCTGCCCGGGTTCGATCCTCAGCACCACATACAAACAAAGATGTTGTGTCCGCCGAGAACTAAAAAATAAATATTAAAAAATTCTCTCTCTCTCTCTCTCTCTCTCCCCCACTCTCTCTCTCTCCCACTCTCTCTTTAAAAAAAATAATAATAATTTTAAAGACTCTAGTAACATATAACCACAAATGAAAAAGCCTAATGCAAAATTGTATATACTTTAGAATACATTGTTGTAAAAATGTGAATTCACTCATTTTCTTCAACACTGAATAAATATATACTATGTGCCAGGGTGTTCTAGTTATTAAGACAAAATCCCTGCCTTCGTAAAGCTTATATCCTATTTGTATTACATATGATAACACCTGAAAGGAAATATACAAAAACAAAAACAACAGTTATTGTAGAGTAGAAATACAGGGGATATTTTATCACCTCATGTTCAAAATTCCTATAATATTATATAGCTTTTGTAGCTCAAATGTCTCAAAAAAATATAAAACAAAGGCAAGGAATTTTAATTTACCTTTTAATGCTGAACAGCCCCTTTTCAGTGTTCTTACGACTTGTCTGAAACATGAATAGAAACCAAAGTGCTGTTAATATACATGGAAATTTCCTTAACAGATGATACTAAAAGCTATAAGCTCTGCCAAGTTATACCTTGTTCATTTCACCCCATGTCTGCAGAAATTCTTTAAATAGTTCATTGTTGTCATCTTGATTTTCAGGAATCATTTCTAAAGGCCCAGGAGGTAACAAAGGCTGTAATCAAAAATAAAAAGTTTATTGTTTGTCTCCTTGCCCTAGAATTACACATTCAAAAAGGCAAAGGGTATTTGTCTGTTTTTTCACTACTTTACTGTCGACACCAACAACAGTGATAGCACATCACAGTTATTCAAAAATAATTATTCAATAAATGAATGCCAACAAAAAACAACAGATGCTGGCAAGGATGTAGAGAAAGGAACTCTCATTCCCTGTTGGTATGAATGCAAATTAATGCCACCATTATGAAAAACCATATGGTGGTTCCTCAGGAAACTAGAAATAGAATTAACATATGATCCAACAATCCCACTACTGGCTATATATTCAAAAAAATAAAATCAGTATGTTAAGGAGATATATTCTTTGTAACATTATTCACAATTGCCAAGATATAAAATCAAACTAAATGTCCATTAAAAAATGAATAAAGAAAATGTTATTTATACACCATGGAAAACTATTCAGAAAAATTTTTAGTTGCAGCAACATGTATGAAACTGGAGGACATTATGTTAAGTAAAATAAATCAGAAAGACAAATACTGCACATTTTCACTATACATGGAATCTAAAGTTGATTCTAAAGAAGTAAAAACCAGAATAGTGTTACCGGAGCCTGGGAACAGTGTGGAGGAAGAAGGGATGGAAAGAGGGTTAATGGGTACAGGGATGCAGATGGATCAGAGGATTAACACCTAATGTTCTATAGAACAGGAGGACAACTATGCTTAACAACAATTAATTTACTATTTGAAAATAATAGAGATGTTTAATGTTCCCCAAACAAATATATGTCTGAGATGACAGATACATCACTTTATTCTGATCATTACACATTATATACATGTAATGCAATGCCACACTGTACCCCATAGATATGCACAATAACTATGTGTCCGTTAAAATACATATAAATAGGGGCTGAGGCTCAGTGGTAGCATGCTTGTCTGGCATGTGTGAGGCACCAAGTTCAATTCTCAGTACCACATATAAATAAATAAAATAAAGGTCTATCAACAACTTAAAAAAAAATTTTTAAATATATATATAAATAAAAAATAAATGAATGAATGCCAGGTCTCCTATCTTATTTAACCCTCTTGACAATTCATTCAATGATACCACTTTTTAAAGACACCATAATTCAGAGAAGTTATTTGACCAAGTTACATTGCCAATAACTGGAAGAGCTAGGAAGAACTCCTATTAGTTCAGTTCAGTACTCAGTGCTATTATTCTATGCCAATGTTTTAGAAAATACAGGTTGAAATCAAATAATAGGCTATGAAATCATTTTAATTTGTCAAAAACAGCAACTACAGTGAATGAGAATAGAATAAAAAATACCAAAATGCAAATAGTAAAGTTGTCATTTCACAAAACTATTGTTTCAGAAGAATGTGTGTTTGTGTGTGTGTGCGTGTGTATGTGTACGTGTTTGCAGTAGTAAAGATTGAACCCAGGGTCTTATACATGCTAAGCAAGCTAACTACCACTGAGCCACATCCCCAGTCCATAAATGTTTCTTATCATGGGTTAGTGCTTCAATAAAATTTGGAAGCTATTCTACTATGCTGCTTTCCATATCACCTTGATTTGCAATTAGCTCCCAAGGCACCAACCTAATTAGTACTATCTTCCAATTTATAATTAAGAACTTAGATATAAAACATTAAAAACAGTAGGTGCTCATGAATTAAAAGTATAAATACAAATCTTATTTACAGAACAAATTTAATAAATTAAAATGTTTCCACTCACTGGTATTATAAAATTAAGCTATAGCAAGGGAACTTCACTTATATCACATACTACTTATTAATAACATTAATAATTACTTTTTATTATTTATTAAGCTCTTAATACAATGTAAGGAACTTTACAGATACTATTTCATTTAATCCTCATGATAGCCCTTGAAAACTTCTATTACTGCCATTTTTAAAATGGAGAAACTGAGGCTCAGAAAGGTTAAATAATTTATAATAATTTACCTACAATCCCATGATAGGTAAGTCCTGCAGAAATACAGAACAATCCAGTCTTTATAACTTTGAAATCTTACTCATTAAATGATATAACATTCAAGTACTATTAACGAAATGTAAATAACTCATCATTTTCAGGGCTGGGGTTGTGGCTCAGAGGTAGAGTGCTCACCTACCATGCGTGAGGCACTGGGTTCGATCCTCAGCACCACATAAAAATAAAAATAAAGATATTGTGTTCACCTACAACTAAAAAATAAATATTTTTTAAAAATATAAAATAAAGGGGCTGGGGATGTGGCTCAAGCGGTAATGTGCTCGCCTGGCATGGGTGCGGCCCAGGTTCGATCGCCAGCACCACCTACAAACAAAGATGTTGTGTCCGCCGAAAACTAAATAAATATTTAAAAAATTCTCTCTAAAAAAATTAAAAATAAAAATAACTCATCATTTTCAAAACATTCTGTTTCAAACACTTTAAACTTTCATATTATATATTGTATTTGCACTCTTTCTTACATTTTCATCTTCTTCTAATGTTGGCTGTGTTGGAGTTGCTGGTAATGAAACTCCTGAAGGATCCACTTTTAGCAATCGCATTGACCTTCTACATCCAATCTCATTTTCTCTCTGCTTAGGCTTCTTTCTAAAGGAGTGGGAAGAAATTCTTGTTATACTCATAAAACAATAAAATGCATTTACTGATATTAAAGAGAGAACTTCTAGGAATGGGTCCCACAGATGAGTGTGTGTATAAATATATAAATATATAAAGATATATAGATATATACATCACCACGGTGATTTTAATAAAAAATCTGATTTTAATAAAAAAGCTACTCCCCAGTCTTTTTTACTTTTTTATTTTGAGACTGAACTAACCTAAATTTCAGCATGAAGAAGTGAAGGACATAAAATATTTTATGGTGTATATATCTAGAATGATATGCAACTATAGAAAAGAATGAAATATTGGCTGGGGCTACAGCTTAAAGGTAGAGCACTTGCCTAGCAGCATGCTCGTGGCCCTGGGTTCAATCCTCAGTACTAGAGAAAGAATGAAACAGATCCTTGGGTGCTAATAAAATGAACTCTTAAGTTGTAAGATGTAAAAATGAGGCCCAGTACATGTTTACAAAAAGGTTACACATACATTTGTACATGATGAGGCTACCCATAAAGGAATATATATGAAACTATTAACTGTGGTATCTTCTAGAAAGAAAGCCTGGAAAACTAAGGATGGGAGGAAGAGTTAAATGTTTCATTGCATTTTCCTTCAAACAGTTTATTTTTTGACTCATACACATCCCCTACTTCTTTTGGAGGTATTGAACCTAGGGGCACTGTTTTTTTGTTTTGTTTTGTTTTATTTTTTATTTATTTACTTATTTATTTTTTAGTTGTAGATGGACACAATACTTCTATTTTATTTGTTTATTTTTATGTGGTGCCAGGGATCAAACCCAGTGCTTCACGCATGCTAGGCAAGCACTCTACCACTGAGCCACAACTCCGGCTCTTTTATTTATTTATTCATTTTTTTTTTTTATTTTTTAGTTTTAGGTGGACACAACATCTTTATTTTATTTTTATGTGGTGCTGAGAATCGAACCCGGGCCGCACGCATGCCAGGCGAGCACGCTACCACTTGAGCCACATCCCCAGCCCCTATTTATTCATTTTTAACTAGGTCACAAAAGTGTTTATTTGTTCTCTTTAGATATACATGACAGTAGGGTATATTTTAACATATAATATATACATAGAATACATCTTACTATAATTAGGATTCCATTCTTCTTGTTGTATATAATGTGGAGATTCACTGTGATGTATTCATATATGAACATAGCAAAATTATGTTTGAAAGGGCTGAACTATCAATGGGACATCTAGGAAGATATCAAATATTGGGAAATTAAGTCTGTGTAAGGTCTGAAGATAGTGTTTTTGGTAACTGTTTGTGTGTTCTTGTCCCAAGGGACACTGTTAATACTAAACTACTGCCCAGTCTTTTTTACTTTCTTTTTTTTTTTAATATTTATTTTTTAGTTTTCAGCGGACACAACATCTTTGTTTGTATGTGGTGCTGAGGATCGAACCCGGGCCGCACACATGCCAGGCGAGCGCTCTACCGCTTGAGCCATATCCCCAGCCCCCTTTTTTACTTTTTTATTTTGAGACTAGATTTAAATTGCCCAGACTGGCCTTGAACTTGCAAGCCTCCTGCCTCAGCCTCCTGCATCACTAGGATTACAGATATGAGTGACCAAGCCCACTTTTCCCCTACTTTTTTATGTATCAATTTTTCATTTAAATTTTTTTTTTCTTTTTCCAGTGCTGGGGATTAACTTTAGAGTTTCACACATGCACTCTACCCACTGAACTATATTCTGGGGACTCCTTTTTTTTTTTTTTTTTAAAGCAATTCATTAAAAAATATTTGTGGGGCTGGGATTATGGCTCAGCGGTAGAGCACTTACTCGCACATTTGAGGCACTGGGTTTAATCCTCAGCACCACATAAAAATAAATAAACAAATAAGGGTATTTTTAAAAAGAGAGATAATACATTAAAAATATATTTGGGAAAGAGAAGATTTCCCGTTTCCAATAATTCATATTTCATCTCTACTAATGCCAGCTATACAAGGTTAGGGGCATAGCACAATGGCAGAACACTTGTCTAGCATACTCAAGTCTATAAGATTTGACCCAACCACTGCAAAAAGAAAAAAAAATTCACATGCAAAATCATTAGCTATAGTCTGGCACAGTGGCACCTGCAATTCTAGCAACTTGTGAGGCTAAGAGAGGAGCATCACAAGTTTGAAGCCGGTCTCAGCAAAATTAGTGACACCCTAAGCAATTAAGCAAGACCCTGTCTCCAAATAAATAAATAAAAAGAACTAGAGCTGTAGCATGGTGGTAAAATGCCCCTGGGTGTTCTAACCCCGAACCAAAAAAAGAAAAAGAAAAAATTCTCAGTTACAGTTCACATTAATTCAGAGGAATTAGTAATAATCACTATTTACTGAAAAATACTAAGCCAGGTGTGATGACACATGCCTGTAATCCTAGCTACCCAGAAACAGAGAAACATGAAGATAGTAAGTTCTAGTCCAGTTTGGACAATTTAGTGAGACCTAGTCTCAAAATTAAAAAAAAATAAAAATGTCTAGGGGACTAGGGTTGTGGCTCAATGGTAGAGCACTTGCCTAGCACATGTGAGGCACTGGGTTTGATTCTCAGCACCATATAAAAATAAATAAATAAAATAAAGGCATTGTGTCCATCTACAACTAAAAAAAAAATTTTCTAAATGGCTGGGAAGCCGGGCGTGGTGGCGCACAGCTATAATCCCAGTGACTCAGGAGGCTGAGGCAGGTGGCTCAAGAGTTCAAAGCCAGCCTCAGCAACTTAACAATGCACTTAGCAACTCAGTGAGACCCTATCTCTAAATAAAATACAAAAAAGGGCTGGGGGTGTGACTCAGTGGTTAAATGTCCCTGGTTTCAATCCCCGGAACCAAAAAAGAAAAAAAAAAATTGGGGCTGGGGATGTGGCTCAAGCGGTAGCACACTCGCCTGGCATGCGTGCGGCCAGGGTTCGATCCTCAGCACCACATACAAACAAAGATGTTGTGTCCACCAAAAACTAAATACTAAAAAATTCTCTCTCTCTCTCTCTCTCTCTCTCTCTCTCTCTAAAAAAAAATGGCTGGGAATATAATTCAGTGGTAAAGCACCACTGGGTGCAATCCCCAAAAGGGAAAGAAAAAAGAAAAAGCTAAACCAAGCATTCAGCATTCACTTCCTCATTTAATTTTTGAAAAAAGGATGAATATATGGAATATTTTAGGCTTTCAAATAGCCAGCCCCCTAGAAATATACTCCCAGAAAACTCCACTCTTTGAAAAAAACTCACACATAGCACCAAAGTTTAGAACATCTGGAGTCGGGTCTAGAGGTATATAGCTCAGTGGTAAAGTGCTTGCCTAGCACATGTAGGCCCCTAGTTCAGTCCGTAGCACAGCAAAAAAAAAAAACAAAAACAAATATTCAGAGCACCACTCTTCATAATAATGAAAATCTGGAAATGACTCAACTGCTGTCCATTAACAGTAAAATAAACTATAGCACATTCATACAATGGAATATTCTAAAACAGAAAAATATGCATGAAATAAAACTGTATACACCAACATGAATGTTTTAAAACTAACATGCAAAGGTAAGCAAAACAAGCTGCCCATGGTGGCACATGCCTGTAATCCCAGTGGCTCAGGAGGCTAAGGCAGGAAGATCCTGAGTTCAAAGCCAGCCTCAGCCACTCAGCAAGGCCCTTAGCAATTTAGCAAGTCTCAAAAGAAAAAATAAAAAGGACTAAGGATGTGGCTCAGTGGTTAAATGCCCCTGGGTTCAATCCCTCATACCAAGGGTGGGAAAATAGGCAAAACTATCGAAGCCCTAAGCAACTCAATGAGACCCTATCTCAAAAAAATAAAAAGGACTAGGGATGTGTTCCAGTGGTTAAGCACTGAGTTAAATCACCAGTACCAAAAAGAAAAAGAAAAAAAAAAGACAAAACAATATATTATTTAAGGATACATTCAGAGATAGCAAAATCATAAATGAAAGAATAATTACCAGCATATTTGGGGCTAGGATTATAGTACTGAAAGCAAAACAAAATTATTCAGCATATTAGTTGTATCAGGAGGATCAGAAGTTCGAAGCCAGCCTCAACAACTTAGTGAGGTCCTAAGCAATTTACTGAGACCCAGTCTCAAAATTTAAAAAAGGGGGTTCAATAATAAAGCCCCCCTGGATTCTATCCCCAGTACTGGGGAAAAAATATATATATTATAATTTCTATTAACTTAGATGCCAGGTATGTGGTTGAGGGGTTTATATTACTAGAAAGTTTTCAACTATACATATATGTTATATGTACTTCTTTTGTATCTCTTATAAATACATATTTATTTTTTTTATTTAAATCTCCCTGGATTCATATAATGTTAACTTTACAGATCAGGAAAAAATATGTAAATTACCCATGGTTGATACTACAACTCTACATGGCTTAATCAAAACTAGAACCCAGGGGCTGGGGTGTACCCAGCCTAGCATGCATGAAGTCCTGGTTCAATCTAGAGCACGGAAAAAAAGAAGAAAAAAAAATTGAACCCAAACTTGTTAAATTTCAAAGGCTATGCTCTTTCCCTTATTATATAACTTCAACACTACCAACTTGGTAACTTGATACTGTTATCTTGCAATTACTAAGTGCTAGAAATTTGGGTTAGGTAATTTAATAATAAATCACCAATCTTTCCTTATAAAAAAAAATAAATGTAAACAGGATACTGTGGCACATGCCTATAATCATAGCTACTTGGGAAGCTGAGTCAAGAGGATTACAAATTTGAGGCCAACTAGGACAATTCAGTGACACCCTCTCTCAGCAATAAAGCTGGGTTCATCCCCAGTAGAGGAAAAAAAAATAAAATAAAAGCACAAATGTATAGTTACAAGACCAGTGATATTGTTTTTTCAGTATTAACTCCTATGACAACTCTTCACACTTGAAGCCACAGTTCATTAGCATCTAGCACAAAATAAATGAGCTAATGATACCAAAAATTTTAGTTTCCTCATTTATATGTAGGTGCTGCTAAAATGCAAGAGACAATTCAAGCTAAAATAATCCCAGAGTTCAAATCCTAAAGCTACCATTTATAAGCTGTTTTGAACTTGGGCAAATATATCTCTGAGCCTTTTTCTAACTCATAAAATAGATATATTACCTACCACATTTAGAATTAAATGAGATAATACAGGACAAACTTTTAAGGTCACTGTACTATGCTTCATAGACATTCAATAAATGTTAATTCCCTTCCCTTATTCTAGGTCTGAAAAGCAAAAGGATAGTCAGAAAAATAAAAAGAAAGAATGAGGTAGGCACAGTGAGTGGCACAGCTACTCAGAGGCTGAGGAAAGAGGATCAAAAATTCAAGGCCAGGGCTGGGGGTTGTGGCTCAGCGGTAGAGTGCTCCTGAGCGAGGCACTGTGTTCCATCGATCCTCAGTACTACATAAAAATAAATAAAATAGGGGCTGGGGATGTGGCTCAAGCGGTAGCACGCTCACCTGGCATGCGTGCGGCCCGGGATCGATCCTCAGCACCACATACAAACAAAGATGTTGTGTCCGCCGAAAACTAAAAATAAATATTAAAAAAAATTCTCTCTCTTTCCCTCTCTCTCATTCTCTTTAAAAAAATGAAAATGTTAAAAAAATAAAAATTAAAAATAAATAAATAAAATTGAAGTATTGTGTCCAACTAAAAAAAAAAAAATTTGGAAAAAAAAAGTTCAAAGCCAGCCTTAGCAATTTAGCAGGACTCTGCTCAAAATAAAAAGGGTTGAGAATGTAGCACAGTGGTAGAATGCCCTAGGGGTTCAACCCCAGTGGGTTTTTTGTTGTTGTTGTTTTTGAGTTTTTTGGTTTGGTAGTTGTTTTCTGTGGTACTGGGAACACAATCAAGGCAAGAGCCAGCACCCTACCATTGAACTATACCCGCTGGCCCTGAGAAGAATCTTCAAGAATGATTTTTCTGGGGCTGGGGATATAGCTCAGTTGGTAGAGTGCTTGCTTTGCATGCACAGGCCCTGGGTTTGATACCCAGCATCAAAAAAAGAAGAATAATTTTCTGGCTAGATATGGTGGTACATGCCTATAATCCTGGTGGCTCAGGAGGCTGAGGCATAAGGATCACGAGTTCAAAGCCAGCCTGAGCAACTTAGCAAGGCCCTAAGTAACTCAGTGAGACCCTGTCTCTAAATAAAACACAAAAAAGGGCTCAGTGGTTGACTGTCCCTGAGTTCAATCCCAAGTACCAAAAAAGAAAATGATTTTCTAGGGAAAAAGTAGAAATCTTTATTTTGTGGAAATAAAAATATTCCTCCATTCAGAGCAACAGTAAATATAAACAAATTCAGCTCTGGAGATTCTATTTGCTCTATATTCTCTTGATGAAAATGAGAACTGTAAAGTTATTAAAAGGTAGTATTCCCTCAGAGATTCCCACAGGGATTAATATTAAATTATAGAGTCTCTGATCTGTTACTAAGATTACTATACCACTTTTTCAGATTATAAAACCACAACAAAATATCATGGTCCAGCCACTGTAACCACATCTTTTACCTCTTGGACTTAGGAGGTTGTCTCTTCTCTATCATTTCACGGAGCCTTGCAGCTGACTGAAAGTACACAAAATACATACGCATGTAAAAATGCTATCTTACAACCACATAGCTTAACTTTTAAAATATTAAAGTCTATTCAGCAAATAAAGATCCTTAAGACAGAATACCTGTTTTCCATGGTAGACATGAGATAAATATATTATCCATAATAAAGGCAAGTAAATAATGCTGCCCAATACACTGATATTCTGATACTTCAGACAAAGTTGCTAATGAGTTTACATGATGAAATGCAAAATTAACTCAAACATACTATTACAAATAACAAGTTTCAACCTCTACTACTGGAAAATTACTTTATATTTTTTTTCCCAGAAAAAATTGTGATATTTTTCTAAATCAAATCCTATTTTGTTAACTAAAATCATAGATTATGTATTTCTTTTTATAAGAAATTTTTTTTTTTTTTTTAAAGAGAGAGAGAGAGAGAGAGAGAATTTTTAATATTTATTGTTTAGTTCTCGGCGGACACAACATCTTTGTTTGTATGTGGTGCTGAGGATAGAACCCGGGCCGCACGCATGCCAGGCGAGCGCGCTACCGCTTGAGCCACATCTCCAGCCCCATAGATTATGTATTTCTGATAAATTTTCAATTGCTGATGATTTAACAATTTAATCCTTCAATTAATCCCCTCACCTACCTGGTGCAAACAACACAGAATATCTGGGAATCTGTTATTCAGAGAAATCAATTACTTATTTTGTAAAGTTAAGGGTTTGATATCTTTGGTGGGGGCAATTATACCCTCCTAAACAGCTATTCTTTCACACAAAGAAATTTTACCCCCATTGTGAAAACACCAATGTAAATTATACCTTTACCTATGATCATAAACACTAGCAAAGACATCTTTTATCCTTAAAGCTCCCTATAAAAAGTATACTCCCATCTATTCTTAAAGTTTAAGATTTAAAAACAAACAGTCCTAGGTTGTAGCTTAATTGGTAAAGCATTTGCCTATTATGCAAGAGTCCCTGGGTTCAATGTTACCACTTTAAAAAAAAAAAAAATAGGGCTGGAGTTTTGGCTCAGTGACAGAGCACTTGCCTAGCCGCGTGAGGCACTGGGTTTGATCCTCAGCACCATATTAAGAATATAAACAAGGGGCTGGGGATGTTGCTCAAGTGGTAACGCGCTCGCCTAGCGTGTGTGAGGCACTGGGTTTGATTCTCGGCACCACATAAAAATAAATAAAGATACTGTGTCCATCTAAAACTGAAAAATAAATATTTTTTAAAAAAGAATATAAACAAATAAAATAAAGTGATTGTGTCCATCCACAACTAAAAATATTTTTAAATATATTTTAGTTGTAGATGGACACAATATCTTTACTTAGTTATTTTTATGTGGTGCTGAGGATTGAACCCAAGACCCTCCCACATGCTAGGCGAGCACTCTACCGCTGAGCCACAACCCCAGCCCAAAATATTTTTAAAATAAATAAAAGATAAAAACAAAACTTGTGGGGCTGGGGCTGTGGCTCAGCGGTATCGCACTTGCCTGGCATGTGTGAGGCACTGGGTTCAATTCTCAGCACCACATAAAATAATAAATAAAGGTCTATTAACAACTAAAAAAAAAATTTAAAAAAAAAAAAAAATTGTCCTCTCACTCCTACATCACACATCCTTCAACCCACCACTCCTACTTCTTCTTTATCTTTGGTTAAAATAACCATTTATAACTTACTGTTTCTTTGAATGTAAGACAACCAATAATGATATCATTATTTTATGTATCACCAAAACTGAGGGGGGACTGCCAATTATAGTTTTAAGATACCAATTTAAAAAATACTAAAATGTGAAAAGATATACTTAAAATCAATGAAATATGGTAATCTCATTCTATTAACATGAACTAGAACATGATGTATAAAAGATTCATTATCTATGTTCTTTTATATATATGTGTGTGTGTGTGTGTGTATATATATATTTATTTATTTTTGGTTAGACATAATACCTTTATTTTGTTTATTTTATTTTTACGTGGTGTTGAGGATCGAACCCAGGGCCTCGAGCATGCTAGGCGAGCGCTCTACCGCTGAGCCACAACCAGCCCAATATCTATTTTCTTTACATGAACCGAACGCTATACTCAACTGGGAACCTTTGGGTTAGTGTATTTTCCAAAGTGCTTTGCAAAGGTTTCTTAACAGGCACATATTGGGACTGGGGTTGTGGCTCAGTGGTAAAGCGCTTGCTTAGCATGTGTGGGATCAATTGCTTAGCACTGGGTTCAATTCTTAGCACCACATATAAATAAATTAATAAAATAAAGGTCCATCAACATCTAAAAAAATATTTTAAATAAATAAATAAGTAAAATAGGGGACTGGGGATATAGCTCAGTTGGTAGAGTGCTTGCCTCGCATGCACAAAGCCCTGGGTTCAATCCCCAGCACAAAAAAGGAAGGAAGGAAGGACAAAAATAAAGGTATCATGTCCATCTACAACAAAAAATTACTACAAAAATAAAAAATTTTAAACAACAGTCCTTATATAAAACCTACTGAATTGTGTCTTCCTTCATTTGACACTATGAAAACTGATACTACAAGTATTTCATTGACCTGCTGGCAAGAAGAATGGCATTTTAGTTTTAATTAGAAACTTCTCACAAACCTCAGACAACTGAAGAGAAGCAAAAAAGTTTGCATTTTCTGATATGTTCTTGAGTCTCTTCCTTTCATATGGTGACAATCCTGAAAAATCATCCTATAAAATTACACCAAAAATAATGTTATTTTACATAATCATTTAAAGCAAAAATACCTCATGAAACCAGATCTTTCATTGTCTGCATGTGTACCTTCTTTCAAATTGTACCCCCTCTATTCATTTGATAATGTCTTACCAAATAGCACATAACCTGTGCTGCACTGGATACTGAGTCTAAATTTGGGATAATCACAAAGTATTTGTATGTATTCCCAACTGAATACGAAGTGATCTGATATAAGAAGTCAAGTTCAAAAGCTAGATCTGAACTTGTGATCCTCCTCCCCCAGCCTCCTAAGCCACTGGAATTACAGGTGTGCACCACCATGCCCAACTAAAAGTTATGTTTATTAAACAAATGATTCCTGTTAAACACAGAATGAACAAATGCATTTGTTGCCATCTCCTCCTAAAAACCCACAAATACAACACTGAAATAAATATGAAAGTGAGATAAGATCCTAAAAGCTTTTAGAGGAAAAAATAACAATCAAGACTCAGAGAGGCACTAACTTCTCAAGATTAAGAAAAAGCCATAGGGGCTGGGGCTGTAGCTCAGTGGCAGAGTGCTTGCCTTGCATATGTGAGGCACTGGGTTCGATCTACGCAGCATATAAAAATAAACAAAAGAAAAAGCTATAAGATAATAATACATTAAAAATGCTAAGAATGGGGGCTGGGACTATAGCTCAGTGGTAGAGCACTTGCCTCACACATGCGAGGCACTGGGTTCAATCCTCAGCACCACATAAAAATAAAGATACTGCGTCCATCTACAACTAAAAAATAAATTAAAAAAAAAAAAAAAAAGCTAAGGATGGCCAGGCATGGTGGTGCATGCTCGTAATCCCAGAGGCTCAGGAAGCTGAGGCAGGAGGATTTCAAGTTCAAAGCCAGCCTCAGTAACTTAGCAAGGCCCTAAGCAACTCAGGGATACCCTGTCTCTAAATAAAATATTAAAAAGGGCTGGGGATATGGCTCAGTGGTTAAGTGCCCTTGGGTTCAATCCCCAGTACCCCTCCCAAAAAAGAAAAGCTAATGAAAAACTAGGGCCTGGGGATGTAACTCAGTGAAAGAATGAACACTTAGCACGTATGAGGCCCTGAGTTTGATCTGCAGCACCAGGTTAAAAAAAAAAAAAAGTTCTACTGGAAAGATTAAATTATTTTCAACTTATAATCATAACTCCAATTAAGTCATCATTTGAATAGAGCTAACGATTTTTCATATCCCTTTTTTCAGGAAGCTACTATAAGTTGCACTTTACCAAAATGAAAGAATAAGCCAAGAAAGAGAGAAACATGGATCGCAGGGACATAAGTTCCAGCACAGATGCAATAAAAGATAAAAATTCAAAAGAAAATGGTAAAGGGTAGGCCTTTACCATTGAATAAAATGGTTCTGAATGGAATAAGATGATGGAGAGCACTAAGAGAATTTTGTGCAGGCCAGAAGCAGTGTCACACACATATAATTCCAGCTATTCGAGGCAGGAGGATAACAAGTTCGAGGCCAGACTAGTCAATTAAGCAAGATCCTGTCTCAAAAATAAATAAAAGGGTTAGGGATCTAGCTCAGTGGTAGAGCGAGCCTTTTTTAGTGCCACCAAAAAAGAGAGAGAATGAGCGTATTTTGTGAAGAAAAAAAATAAAATCAAGACTTCAGGGACCTGGGTTGTGGCTTAGTAGTAGGGCATTTGCCTAGCATGTATGAGGCACTAGGTTAGATTCTGAGCACCACATATAAATAAATGAATAAAATAAAGGTCCATCAACATCTAAAAAACATATTTTTAAAAAAACTTCAGAAATCTTTGATTTTGAGCCCAGCACAGTGGCTTAGACATATTAACCCACTTCCTTAGGAGGTTGTGGCAGGAGGAACATTTGAGCCCAGGAGTTCAAGACCAGACTGGACAACATAGTAAAATCCTGTCACAAAAAAAGAAAAAGAATCTTCTTCAAGCAGGAATGGTGGTGCACATCTGTAATCCCAGCAATTTTGGAGGCTGAATCAGAAGGATGTCAGGTTTGAGACCAGCCTGTTTTTAAAATGGGACCCCATCTTAAAAAAAGGAGGAGGGGGCTGGGAATGTAATTTAGTGGTAAAGCACCCCTAGGTTTAATCTCCAGTACCAGAAGTGGAGAAGATCTTTGATTTATATTGAGAAGTCTTACAACACAGATAATACTGGATTAAAGCTAATAAAAGTATAGAAAGGAAAAGTGTGTGTGTGTAATATGTGGTATAAGTGAAACAAATCCTTTCTTTATTTTTAAGCAAAGCTTAATTTTCCATATAAGTTAACAGCTACATTGGGAGAGAAAAAAGCTAAAAAGGTTGAAAGTGCCATTTGTTGTTGAACAGCAACAGAAAGGTGTGTGTCAGGAAATTGCCAGCTATTTGATTTTTGTTGTGTGTACATGTGAATTTTTCTTATATCAATATGTGCATGTACTACTGACCAAAATATTCTTCTCACATACATGCAAAATAGCCAGGCGTGGTGGCACATGCCTGTAATCCTAGTGACTTGGGAGGTCGAGGCAGGAGGATCATGAGTTCAAAGCCAGCCTCAGCAACTCAGCAAGGCCCTAAGCAACTCAGTAAAAGCCTGTTTCTAATAAAATATAAAAGAGGGTTGGGGATGTGGCTTGTGGTTAAGCACACCTGGGTTCAATCCCTGGTACCAAAAAAAAAAAAAAAAAAAAAAAATATATATATATATATATATATATATATATATATGCATGCAAAATAACATTGACAGCAAAGATGAAATTGGAAAGGTTCCATTTACCACTGCCTTTAAAACTGCCATCTTAAAGAAAAACACCACCATCAAATACAGTTGTACCCTCCTACCCAAAATTTTACTTCCCACAGTTTGTTACTTGAAGTCAACCATGGTTCAAAAGTAGCAAATGGACATTCCAGAAAGCAAACTTTTTTATTTATTTTTCTTTGCAGTATTGGGAATTGAACCCAGGGATGCTCTACCACTGAGCTACATCCCCAGTCCCTGCTGACCTTGAACTTACATTTCTCCTGCCTAAGACATCTGAGTCACTGAGATTATAGGCTTAAGCCACCAAACCTACCCAGAAATAAACAATTTTTAAGTTTTAAGTTGTATGTCTGAGTAGCATAATGAAACCTTAGTTCTGTTCCATTCTGCCCAGTGTCCCTCTGTCTAGCATATTCAAACTGTATATGCTACCCACCTGTTAGTAGCTATCTGGGTTATGAGATCAACTGCAGCAATATTATAGTGCTTGTGTTCAAGCAATCCTTATTTTACTTAATGGCCCCAAGACACAAGAGCAGTGATGCTGGCAATTTGGATATGACAGAGAAGCCGTATGGTGCTTCTTTTCTGTGAAAAGTTTAAAGTTCTCAGTACAAAAAGAAAAAAATACATCATGGGTAAGAACAGTACAATAATACTTTCTGAGGCCGAGTATGGTGACACATACCTGTAATCCTAGCTACTCCAGAGGCTGAAGCAGGAGGATTACCAGTTCAAGACCAACCTGGGTAATCTAGCAAGACCCCATCTCAAAAATAAAACTTAAAAAGGGATGGAAATGTGACTAAGTGGAAGAGTATTTGTTTAGCATAATCAAGGCCTTAGGTTCAATCCCCAGTTATGATGATGAATAAATTAGGCACAATAAGAAGCTAATAAGAAATTATTTTAATGAAACAGAATTATAAATGATATCGTATGATAAACTATGTGAATGTAGCCTGTCTCTCTCAGTCTCTCTACAAATATTTTATTATACTCACCCTTCTTGTTTACCATAAATAAGTGAAACCTCAGAAAGTAAAACTGGGGCCCTACTATAGTATACACAAGGTTTGGCAACATCCATTATTTCAGGCATCCACTGGGGTCTTGGAATATATATCTTCCCCAGAAAAGAAGGGACTATTGTAAACCCAGATGTGATGCACTGAGAACATATTTGCTTCTGAGACCATTCCCAGTAACACAAAACCTTTAATCATGAGAAAATGTCAAACAAACCAAAATTGAAGGAAAAATATTTAAAATAACTGTCCAGTACTCTTTGAGTATTAAAGTCATGAAAGATTGAGAAAGTGTTACATAGTGGAGGAGACTACAGAGACACACTATCTAAATCCTGTGTGTTCCTGGCCTGGGTGGTAAACAGGAAAAAATATATGACTGGAAAAACTGGTGAAATCCAAACTCTATTTAACAATATTGTATCAAGGTTATGTAAGATGTTTGTAAGCTGGATGAAAAATATTCAGGATCTCCCCAAAACTATCTTTGCAAGTCTTCTATAAGCCAAAAATTATCTCAAAAATTTTATTTTCTTTTTGTTGCCTCAAAATTTAAAAAAAAAAAATCAACTGCTAAGAAATAATTTATAAAATATTTAACAGAAGAGTTGGGAAATAAAATTTAGAAAATTTCCCAAAAAATAGAATAAAATCTTATACTTGCAAGGCAAGGCTCTTATCTGTAATGCAGCAAAGTCTTCCTTCATTTGGGGAAAAAAATAAGCTTATAAACTAAATACTGTTCCTAAAGCATAGAACCACAAACTCTTAGTCATATTACTCTAAAAAGTTAATAAGTGTGGGGGATTATAACTCAATGATAGAATGCTGGTCTAGCAGGCACAAGAACCTAGGTTCAATCCCATCCCTGCAAAAGAGAAAAGATAATGAAACAGAAGGCCAGGGGATGCAGCTCGATGGTAAAGTGCTTGTCCGGTATGCACAAGGCCCTGGGTTCGATCCTCATGACCACAAAACAACACAACTCACACACACAACCCACCAACAACTAAAACAAAAATTTAAGGAGCTGGGGTTGTGGCTCAGTGGTAGAGCGCTTGCCTAGCATGTGTGAGGCACTGGATTCAATTCTGAGCACCATGTATAATAAATGAATAAAATTAAGGTCCATCCACATATTAAAAAACAAAATTTTTTTTCCAAGTACATTTTTAAAAAAGGAAGAGAATACGCCAGGCCCAGTGGCGCACCCACACTCCTGTAATCCTAGCCACTGGGGAGGCTGAGTCATGAGTTCAAAGCCAGCCTCAACAAAAAACAAGGTGCTAAGCAACTCAGTGAGACCCTGTCTCTAAATAAAACACAAAATAAAGCTGGGGATGTGGCTCTGGGATCAAATGCCCCCAAGTTCAATCCCAGGTTACCAAAAAAAAAAAAAAAAGGAAGAGAAAATAATAAAATGTTCTATTTAAAATGTTATAATTTAGTTTGTCCTAGGAAAAATGTATTCTATGCATTTATGGTTCTGCTTGACTATCTCCCTCCTGCTGATCATATTTTCTCACATCAAATTAAATCCATTTTATATTAACTTCTTACACATGTAATCTTACACTCTAAAAGGCCAAAAAGATTCTGACCAGTGGTTCTCAAAGCTCCATTCCAGACCAACAGCATGGACCAACAGCACCAAAGTCTCCAGGAAACCACATTAAAAATGCAAATTCTATGCTCCACCTAAATCCAGTGCTCTACAACTGCACTATATTCTCGGCCTTTTTCTTTCTTTTTTGAGACAGAGTGTTACTAAATTGCCAAGGCTGGCCTTGAATTTGAGATCCTCCTTTCCTCCTAGCTTCAACCTCTAGAGTCACTGGGATTAAAGTAACTGGGAGTACAGGAGTGAGCCACCATGCCGACCCTCTCCAGGTAATTCTCATACTGGCTAAATTCTGAGAACCACTGATTTATCCAATCTTCTCATTAGGGAGGTTATTGGCTTAAAGGAACAAGATTTCTTAGAAGTTGACTCGCCTAGAAACTAGGCTCCCAACCCTTATTTCCATGCACTTATGATTTACCCTTTTACTGTCCCGCATGGGTCTGGATTCTTACCTATGGGACAATAATGCATAAAACAAATGCCTATTTCATAACAAAAACTTTTCAATTATCATGTCTCTCTTTCCCTAGCTTCATTTTCTGTTGCTCTAGTTCCATCAACTTTTTGTCATGTGACATGGTTTATCTTGTCCTGCCTGAAGTTGCCACTCAGAAAGCCAGGAGAACCACCCAATCCATGTTTTTACCCTGGACCCCGTGATTCAGATGTCTGTAGTACTGGGGTTTCGCTTTGAAAAACACTGTCACTTCTCCTAAGGGAAAAACTACTTAAAAATTAAAAAAAAAAAAAAAAAAAACTACTGCCTAGGCAGAAGACAAAAGAATTAGATTCCTTAAACTGACTCCAACCATTCCACAGAACTAATGAGTATTTCTCTTTTGTGTTAACTCTACTTCATTTGTCTCCTTTTGTTTTTAAAAGTAATGCAATCAATTAATGATTGTGTTCCTACCCTGACATCAAAGGTCAATTGCGTATGTCCCACAGGCTGAAAACTTCTGGTAAACCATGCAAATATGTAAAGGTTAAGGGCTGGGGATATGGTTCAGCAGTAGAGCACTCACTTAGCACTTGCAAGGACCTGGGTTTGATCCTCAGCACCACATAAATATAAATAATAAAATAAAGGTATTGTGTCCAACTACAACTAAAAAATAAAATTTAAAAAAAGTAAAGGTTAACAAGGCACAATCAAGTATGAGTAAGCTCAAAAATATATGCAATAAACTGAGAGGAAAAAAAGGAACTAAAATTAATCCAAGGAGGTTATCTGATAAATATTTAAAACACAAAATTTCCACTAAACACATTAAATTATAAAATAATTTTATTGCACTTAAGACCTTTGATGACCTTATAGAACTTCAAATTTCAAAACAGCCAAGAAAAATTAGAACTACTAATTAAATCTTACCAGGCCAGGTGTGGTATCTTCATCACTGCTTTCCATATCAACGTTGCAAATCACGGCATCTGAACTGTTCTTGTGTTCTAGTTTGTTACTTTCAGCATGAACATCTAAGGATGATTTTTGCAGAGTAGATTCTGCCTTGGAAGATATGGCTTTCATTTTTGGAATTAATTTTTTTTTGCAAGTTTTCTTTAATTGAGTCTTTTTAAACTTCTTACACATCACTGCATCATTAGAATTCTTTTCTAATAGGGATTTGGGGCACTTAAATTGACCTAACTTGTAATTAGTGAGTGAAAAGGGAGCAAGATAAACCTTAGCTGTTTTTCCTAGAACTGTAGTCTGTTCTGGTCTCAGAGATACGAAAACGACGTTTTGATTTTCTTTATATTCATTCACCTATTCAAGTCAATAAAGGAAAACAGTATTAGAAACCCAAGTCCTCTGCCTTTTCTTACAAGATCACAACTAATCTCCGTTAACAAATCTAATCTCCATTTCATGACAACATAATTCAAACTGATAGCCTATAAGGAAACTTCTTCCCCGCCTCCAAAATCTCTATTCATAATTCATTAGCTTGAATGAAATTACTGAGTTTTATTGAGCAAATTTCTTTTCCATAGGAGCTTATCAAAGCAATAAATAATGACTAGCGTTTGTAACTTAAGGGACTACTCCAACTGTCAGCTTCACAGTAACTTAATAAAGTTGCTAAAGCAAATGCTGGGGGCATGAGAAAAGGAGATCCCAGGTCCCATCCTGTCATTATTTCTAGGATTGTTGACAACAGCCTTCCTGTTGTTCTGGCACTGAAGGCCTAGTTTTCCACAGAAAACCAGGACAGAGATCCTCGCTTATCCCGGGTGCCAGGCAACGGTGCCCAGCAAATCCCAAAGACTGAGACAGGAGAAACAGAAAACCGTCAGACCGCCTCTCACCTTCACCTGGTTACGCTGTCTGGAGCAAGCCTTCTCCTCCGCCTCCGCGCTTAACCACGACATCTTTCTACCGCTTAGCAGCTGACGCCTTCCCGCCAAGACCGCTCGGGAGCCCGGGGTGGGCGGGCCTTGGGGGAGTTCTAGAGGGAGGGGCAGCCCAGCCTGGATTTGAGTCCCGGGAAGCGGAGCCCCGCTCAGCTGACCTGGCAGCAGCGGGAGAACCGCCCCAATCCACGTTTTTACCCTGGACCCTGTGATTCAGGTGTCTGTGGTACTGGGGTTTCGCTCTGAAAAACACTGGCGCGGGGCTGGGGCTCGGCCGTGGAGCATTTGCCTTGCACGTGTGAGGCCCTGGGTTCTATCCTCAGCACCACGTAAAAATAAATAAATAAAATAAAGGTATTGTGTCCATCTACAACTAAAAAAAAAAAAAAAAGAAAAGGAAAGAAAGAAAAACACTGGCGCTTCTCCTAAGGGAAAAACTACTGCCCTGCGACGTGAGTCTGGAAAAAGTTAAGACGCACGTAGGTGCCATAAGGAACGGAGGGCAAAGGAAATAAAAATTAATACGCAATGCAGGCTTTACCTAGGCCATTACTTCCTTGTAACTCCACTACCAAAAATGATGCCCCTTTATTATATCTTCTTCCTAGGAAAGGAAGCATCCCTGGCCACAAAATTTAAACCTCTTACTTCAGCCTCCCACATAGTTGGGATTATAGAGTGCTCCACCGTCCCCAAAATAAATCTTTTAAAAATTATGTCTACTCTTTATGTCTCTCTCTCTCTCCAAACTGCTTCCTTGGTTCACTAATTGAATCACCACTGTTCTTTGCTTGACACTTGCCAATTTGGTGACAGAGGTACTGAGACTGACCTGAGGGGCACCACTGAGTTACATCCCCAGCCCTTTTTATTTTTTGAGAAAGGGTCTCACTAAATTTCTGAGGCTGACTTGCAATCCTCCAGCTTCATTCTCTCCAATCACTGGGATTACAGGCAGGGCACACCATGCTCGGTGCCGACTTAATTTCTTTTCCCAGTCAGGGCCCAGCTTTAAAATGTAAGCTTTAAAATAATTTGAAAGTTAATCATATTTGTTGCATCTTCAAGATCTTCCATGACCTCGTATGCATGGAATTTTCTCTTGACTCAAAAAATAAACCAAATAAACTGATAAACCAAACTTTTCAGTGACCCATATATACCGTACTAACCCTTCTCTCCCCAAACATGGTAATTATAAAGCCCTTCCTAAGGTGAAGCGTGTTATGACTTCCAATAAGTCAATTTGTTTTACACAGCTCAGCTGTAAATTGGAATTGCTTGTTATTATTCTAAAAGTTCTTTAAGACTTCCTAAATAAAACTCAGTTTTCTTGGACTTTAACAATAGTCCATACTCTTTTCAGAGCCTAAACACAGTTAAAATAAGCACTTAATTACTTTGGAAATTAAATGCAATTTCCAGCCAAGAATGGATTTTAATACGCAGTTTCCAGAATCCCCATCCAATGGACGGATTAAACTAATTCTTCTGCGTGTTCAACAATCTAGACAAACAACAACTTGTTATCTCCTCAGTTTCTTGTTCACGGCCAGATAGCCGGACCCGACGGCGCACGCCTGTAATCCCAGGGATTCTAGAGGCAGAGACAGGAGGATCGCCAGTTCAATAACATCCTCAGCAATTTAGCGGCACCTTGTCTCAAAATAAAAAATAAAAAGGGCTGGGCATGTAGCTTAGTGGTAGAACGCCCTTGCATTCAATTCCCAGACCAAAAAGAACGAAACTTCCTTGCCCTACAGCCAAACCCAAAGGGAGCAACTTCCCACGAGAACGGGATTCCAAATTTTGCAAGGTTGAGGACCCGGAAGGCACGGAGAGGTGGGGGTCTGGAGGAGGGGTGGGGACGGGGGAGGGGCGCCTAAGGACATGCGCAATAACAGACTCAATTTTTAAGCGGCCTGCGTTCAGAAGTCCTCCAAAATCCCACAATCCTCTCGTAACACATTTCCGGTTTACCTAGCTCTGACGTAAAAGTAGTTTCTATCAGTCGTGCTGTCGTGCCGGGCGTACCTAGGTTGGAAGTAGTTTAGCTGTTCGTTGTTAGTGTTAGCTGCGTATAATCAGTCGAGTTTCGGGAATCAACACCGCTGCAATCAACATGTCGGTCCCAAGCGCACTCATGAAGCAACCGCCCATTCAGTCTACGGCTGGGGCCGTCCCCGTTCGCAATGAGAAAGGTAACTGTGCTCACCCCTCTCCCAGTCAGATCTTACCTCTCCCAGCCTCGGCATCCAAAACTCCCCCGGCTGGCCACCCGAACCCCGCTGGTCTCATTTCTTCTGCCTTTCCACACTAAAGTCGCACCCGTTCGCGTTGTCTGGGTTGAGGAGGGGATCTACTTTGCATCATATCTTGGTCTTGTGACCTGTCTGCTCTCGTACGGCAAGCACCCCTCTATTCTATTGGCCTCCACAAATTTCTTACATAGCAGTCTGTTTAGGCTGCTTTGATAACTCTTATCAAGTATTGTAGTTATTTACGTGTCTATCTTGCCCTAGAAGACCATAACTTCGTTCAGGCCGGGAACTGTGTCTTTGAATAGAAAGTTGTGTAAGGTAGTGCTCCAACTTTAAGGCATTCACATTCTAGTGCATGTAAGACATGAAAAAAGAGGTACATGCCAAGCAGATTGGGGTAATCAAGAAAAGCTTCTTGAAGACAGTGTCATTTAATTTGATCCTTAAAGAACGGGTATGATTTCAATAAGTGCAGATGTAGGAGGGACCAAAGTTTTTTCAGTAAAAATGTCGGAAAAGAATATCATGTTTTTTCTTATTCTTTAAATATCCTGTATCAAACTTTGTGCAACTTGCCTATTTGGTGGTGGTGGTTGGGGGGGGGGGGGACGCTGTTCATTAAACCCAGGCCTTCTGCATGATAGTCAGATGCTCTACCACAGAACTACACCATTTTTTCTTTCTTTAATTCAACATGACTTTTGAGAATTTTTAAATACATATCAATTTCATTCATTTTAACTGCTTTTAAATTCCATTATATAAATAAATAAACCACAGTTTATTCCCTCCTGATGGGTAGTTAGTAGTTAGTTGTTGCCATGTTGTTTTTCCTTTTATTGCAGAAGCCTGCAGTTGTCATCCTTTTTTGTTGTTGTTGTTGTCAATGGGTCTTTATTATATGGGGTGTTAAGAATCAAACCCAGTGCCTCACACATGTTATGCAAGTGCTCTACCACTGAGCTACAACCCCAGCCCCAGTTGTCACTCTTTTTTTTTTTCTAGAAGTAGTTGCACACAATACCTTTATTTTATTTATTTATTTTTATGTGGCGCTGAGGGCCTTGCACATGCTAGATGATCGCTCTGCCACTGAGCCACAATCCCAGCCCCCAGTTGTCATTCTTAAATGTATCTATTGGATACCTTTTTTTTTTTTTTTTTTTGGTACTGGGGATTGAACTCAGAGGCACTTAACTACTGAGCCACATCCCCAGCCCTTTTTTGTATTTTGTTTAGAGAAAGGTCTCAGTGAGTTATTTAGCACCTTACTAAATTTCTGAGGATGACTTTGAACTCATGATTCTCCTGCCTCAACCCCTTAAATTTACCACTGGATTACAAGACTGAGCCATCATGCCTGGCTTTGTGATACATTTATGTAAAAATTTCCTTAGGGAGGAGTGTCCTAGAAGTCATCAACTTTACTATCTGTTACCAATTGTTCTCCAAAGTAAGTTATAAGAACTTCATAGTTTTTATTTCCAAGACATTCATCCACACTTCATTGTATGGGATCTTTCTTTTTTTTTTTTTTTTTTATTTCTTTGTAGTGGGGATTGAATCCAAGGCACTTACCACTGAGCTACCTGCCCAGTCTTTTTTTTTTTTTTTTTTTTTTTGCAGTTGTATATGGACTGCATGCCTTTATCTTATTTGTTTATTTTTGTGTGGTGCTGAGACTCAAACCCATTGTCTCACACATGCAAGGCAAGCGCTCTGCCACTGAGCTACAGCCTCAGCCCTACTGCCTAGCCTTTTATTTTTTTATTTTGAGACAGGGTCTTGCTGAGTTGTTTAGGGCCTCATTACATTTCTGAGCCTGGCCTAAAACTTGTGATCCTCTTGTCTCAGCCTCCCAAGCTGCTAGGATTTCAGGCATACACTACTGTGCCCAGCTTCCAGGCTGGTCTTAAACTCCTGGGATCAATTAATCGTACCTCAGTCTCCAGAATACACCTGATTACTTTTTTTAGAAAATTTTTTTATTCTAATTTGTTACAAACCTGACTACCATGGTGGTGGTGGGGGGGGGGGCAGGTAGTGGTGTTAGGAACTAAACCCAGGACCTCATGCATATTAGGCAAGCACTCTACCATTTCACTACATCCCAAGTCCCTAATTTACTATAACTTTAAGCCTTGCTCTTTGGTACAAACCACCTCCCCCTTTACCCCTTCCATTTTATTCTTCATCAGAATTATCTTAGTTCTTTTCGGCCTCCTATCCTTCTATATGATTTTAGAAACAGCCTGGGGCAACTTTTAATGGAATTGCATTAAAATTATAGATTATAGATTATACGTTTATAGGATAATTCAGGCACAGTTACGATCTTCTCATCCTTGAACATGATATATTTCTCCATTTATTTAGAGCTTTTATATCTTTGAATAAAATTATACTTTTCCTCCTAAAGGCATTATTTTACTTGTTGAATTTATTTCTTGGTATTGAGTAGTTGCCGATGTAAATGGTATTTTAAACAATATTTTCTGATTATACATAGTTATACATAAATACACTGTGTGTGTGTGTTGGGGGGGTGGTGCTGGGGATTGAAACCAGGGCCTTGTGCATGCAAGGCAAGCACTCTACCAATTAAGCCATATCCCTGGACCCAAACACTTTTTCTTGTTTATTTATTTATTTATTTATTTTAGTTGTTAATGGATCTTTATTTTATTTATTTATATGTGGTGCTGAGAATCGAACCCAGTGCCTCACACATGCTAGGCAAGTACTTTATCACTGAGGCACAACCCCAGCTGTCCCATTCACTTATTTTTATATACATACAAGTTTTTTGTTTTTGTTTTGGCTTGGTTTTTGGTACCAGAGATTGAACTCAGGGGCACTCAACCACTGAGCCACATCCCCAGTTCTATTTTATATCTATTTTGTATTTTATTTAGAAACAAGGTCTTGCTGAGTTGCTTGAGGCCTTGCTAAATTGCTGAGGCTAGGGTTTTTTTTGTTTTTTTTTTTAGTGTAGTTCGACACAATACCTTTATTTCACTTATTTATTTTTATGTGGTGCTGAGAATCAAACCCATGGTCTTGCAAGGCGAGCAGTCTACCACTGTGCCACAATCCCAGCCCCCTGAGGCTGGTTTTGAACTCAAGATCCTCCTGCCTCAGCCTCCCAGCCACTGGAATTATAGGTGTGCTCTACTGCATCCAGCTTCCTGAATTGTTTAGCTTGACTTGTTAAATTGTATTTTTGCGGAGACAATGATAGCTTGGAAATTATGGTAGTTTTTTCCTTTTCAGTCCTTATCATTTATGTATTTATTATTATCCAAGTTAGAATCATAATACAGGGTTAACTATAAAGTATAATGGGTACAACATAAGGATGCTCACTGTTTGTTCATTTAAGAAATAGATCTCTCCAGTCTCATGCCTATAATCCCAGTGACTAAGGAGGCTGAGGTAGGAGGATTGCAAGTTTGAGGCAACTTAGTAAGATCCTTCCTAAAAATAAAAAGGGCTGGAGATGTAACTCATTGGTAGAGCTAGCTTTAATCCTCAGTACAAAAAAAAAAAAAATCATTATGTGACTTAAAAAAAATAGCATATTTCTCCTTTTTCCCCCACTACTTTTCTAAAGTTAAGCCATTCTTGAAATCCTAGGTTTACTCCTATTAGGTCAGGATGATTTAGAGTTTTGGTTTTTTGTGTGTGTTGTAAGGATTTGGGGAGAGAGTATTTTTGTATGTAAGTGAAACTCACCCAGAGTTTCCTTTGGTTATCAGGATTTGCTTATCTTATAAAAGAAGTTGGTTAGTTTTCACTCTTTCTGTTCACTGCAATTGTTTGTATGTGTGAAAGAAGTTACTCTTGCAGATTTGATGGCACAAAAGCTAAAGGAAAGAAGGTGGAAATAAATAATATTAGAATTTTAGGTTATGTGGCAATCTTTTATAAAGGCTGCCATGGAAATTCCAAAGGAAATTAAAAGAATGTCCAACCAACATTTTAGTTTTATAAGTTCCTACTTATCATCCTGACTATATCCTGGGCACTGTTACAATAATTTGTTTAAGGTTATAGCTGAAATGGTAAGCCATGAATTTATGGTGGGAGTGGAGTTTTTTTCTACTGGTTCACTGCTCACCTTCCTTCACTTAATTGTACCCAAGGTAAGCTTTGTTATCATGAGAGTAATCACAAGAATGCTTTCCCATGTGTTGGCCTTTGTTGGAAAGCACCATTAGATGAATAGGAGATTGGGTAATGGTTCTCTTCTTCTGCTTAAACCCTTGTCTACCAGAAATTCAGGCGCTACCTGCAGAGGCCAAGGGCTGAAGAACATTGGGAAAGACTACTGACTTATTATGTTAACTTATTATGTTATCTCTCTTGCCCAGGTGAGATTTCAATGGAGAAGGTAAAGGTAAAACGTTATGTATCTGGAAAGAGGCCAGACTATGCCCCTATGGAGTCTTCAGATGAGGAAGATGAAGAATTTCAATTCATTAAGAAAGCCAAAGAACAAGAAGCAGAACCGGAGGAACAAGAGGAGGATTCATCTAGTGATCCCCGGCTGCGTCGTTTGCAGAACCGTATTAGTGAAGATGTGGAAGAAAGGTAATGACTAAGGTTATACTTCCCTGGATCTGAACCTCTGCAGGTTAATTAATGACATCACTAATACCTAATACCTGAATAATATTTATATGTACCAATTATGCTGTTCTAAGTAGATTATATTTACTAATTCTTATAATCCATACAATAACCTTATGAGGTTGTCGTTATTTTACAAATGAGAAAAGTGAAGCACAAAGGAGTTAGGAGAATAATATGACAAAAGATACACAGCCAGTAAGTGGCAGCTTCAGAAAACAGCAGGTAACTTCTAGCCTAAGGATCTTAATTAACTCATTAAGGAAATAGAAAATAGATACCAAGAGGCTCCAGAGATTTCTCTATAGTAGAAGGCTTACCTAGCATGGAAGAGGTCTTGGGTTTCATCCCAACTCCTCAAAGAATAGAGAGACAATTGTTTGTTCATTAAACGGAGTCTTTTTATCATGAAGATGTTTTATAAAACTTGAGAAATTGGTTGTATCCACCTACTTATTCCCCAGTGAGGGGAAATGACACTGATAAAGTAGGAAAAAAGACTTAAGAAGTGATCTCATGTTAGAAAGAGAGCCTCCCAGTGAGGGGATTTGTATGTTGTGTATTGATTGAAGCATTACCTTACAGAGGCCATAGGTCCTGAACTCTCACTGTTCATATTGTCTCAGGAATTTGTCACAGCAACCATCAAAAATTGTTTCACTAAAATACTATGTCACTGAAAATAATATAGTATGATTTAATGTTGAAAGTGTAAACTACCTTGAGTTATTGAAAATGTCCCTCTGTGCCATGTGAGTTTGCTGTTGTGCCCCCAAAATGGTGCCTGAACACATTTAGTGTTTAGTCAAACACATTAGTCAAACAGCATATAGTCAAACACATTTTGACTATATGCTCTGACATTCTGGTATAGTTTCTTTAATCTCTACCTCAGTTGTTACATCTCAAAGACATTCGTATTAATGAAGGCAAATCAGGTTTGTACTGCAACTAAGAAAATGTGGTGGATTTTCCTATTTTTGTGACATTGGTGATACACTTGGAGATCCTGTTTTTCAGATTGGCCCGACATCGGAAAATAGTAGAACCTGAAGTAGTAGGAGAAAGTGACTCAGAAGTAGAAGGAGATGCTTGGCGCATGGAACGAGAAGATACCAGTGAAGAAGAGGAGGAAGAAATTGATGATGAGGTGTGGTAAAGGGAAATGGGAGGTTTTTTCCTGAGCAGAAGAAAAATTGGTGGGAAGATCCTATTTTTTTTCTTTACTTTTTTTTTTTTTTTTTAGTAGTGGGGATTGAACCCAGAGGTACTTTACCACTGAGCAATATCCTTAGTCCTTTTTATTTTTTAATCTGAGATAGGGTTTTATTAAGTTGCTGAGGTTGGTCTCTAACTTGTGATCCTCATGCCTCAGCCTCCCAAGATGCTAGGGTTGCAGGCATGTGCTACCATGTCCAGTGCCAATATTCATTTGCTGAGGCCATAAAGGCCAAGATGACTGCTTTTGGCAGAATTGTGATAGTGTTTCCTCTTTATTAGAGATAAAATTGAAAATAAAGTGGTTCTACATTTCGTTTACTTAGAATTTGTTGAACTTGATGAGACAAAAATAAAAAGCCATCTCAGGAGTGTAGCCTAGAGGTAGAGCTTGTGCTTAGCATGTGCAAGACCCTGGGTTCAATCCCCCGCACCCAAAAAAAAAAAAGAAAAAAAAAGCCATTATAGAGTATAGACCATTTGAATAACAAGCTTAGATGTATGCTTTGATAGGAAATAGAGCGGCGCCGTGGAATGATGCGTCAACGAGCACAGGAGAGAAAAAATGAGGAAATGGAAGTCATGGAGGTAGAAGATGAAGGACGTTCTGGGGAGGAGTCAGAATCAGAGTCAGAGTATGAAGAGTACACAGACAGTGAAGATGAGATGGAGCCTCGCCTTAAGCCAGTCTTCATTCGAAAGTAAGTATCTCACAAAACAGGTCAGAGTTTACATAGTTACTTCTTTCTAGGTCTGACAGTAAAAGCCTCATTTCTATCCCATGTTCGTCCAAATCTAAGTACTAAGCATTTAGGCCAGTGCCCAGGGTGGGTGTAGATATTGAGTAGCAGCATGGTATAGCAGGAAGCCTGTTTGTTTTCATATCTCTCTTTCCAGTTAAGGAGCACTTATCTGCTCAAGGTTGTATATTTTAAGCATGAAATTAAGCTTAAATAACAAATTCTGGGTTGAGGTTGTAGCTCTGGCAGAGCACTTGCCTTGCACATGTGAGGAACTGGGTTTGATCCTCAGCACCACATAAAAACACATAAATAAAAGTATTGTGTCCATCTACAACTAAAAATATTTTTTTTAAAAAATTCCTATTTGTGGCTGTGGGTGTGGCTCAAACGGTAGCACGCTCGCCTGGCATGCGTGCAGCTCGCGTTTGATCCTCAGCACCACATACAAACAAAGATAATTCTTTCTCATTCTCTCTCTCTCTCTCTCTCTTTAAAAAAAAATTTCTATTTCCTAATGGCTAGAAATTCTATTACTTATAATCCAGCAGGCTTCTTATTATCTAGGCAAACCTCAAGAATGAACATAATTTTGGTGAACTAAAGATCTGTGAGAATGCCTCTGTTTTTGACAGTTTGCAAATAATAGAGCCAAAGATTGTTTGGCTTTGTCGGATTTGGATGGGACTAGATTGAGAGGAACAAAGAGAGCCATTCTAAGGACTTTGGGCAATTAACAGGACCTCTGTGATGCAGGAAGGACCGAGTGACAGTTCAAGAACGGGAGGCTGAAGCATTGAAACAGAAAGAGCTGGAGCAGGAAGCAAAGCGCATGGCTGAAGAGAGACGAAAGTACACCCTCAAGGTACTGGGAGTGGTTGTGAGGATTGAGTGCAAAGAGTGGTGTAATTAGGTTTGTCTGAGGATAAGGAAGTGCATATCTGAATTGTTTTCCTTATCCAGATTGTAGAAGAGGAGACCAAGAAAGAGCTGGAGGAGAATAAGCGTTCCCTGGCTGCACTGGATGCACTCAACACTGACGATGAAAATGATGAGGAGGAATATGAGGCATGGAAAGTTCGAGAGCTAAAAAGAATCAAGAGGGACAGAGAAGACAGAGAAGCGTGAGTAATGGGATTGGTAATGCTGCTGATGGAACAGGTTTTCTAGTACCAGTACTGTAGTTCTGAGGCCTGTCACCTACTATGGTTTCCATTCTTGGGATGGGTTTAGTTTGCTGCTTGGTTTCTTTGTTTGTTTGTTTTCAGTATTGGGGATTAAACCCAGAGGGGCTTTACCACTAAGTCACATCCCCAGCCCTTTTTATTTTTTATTTTGAGACAAAGTCTCACTAAGTTGGTTAGGGCCTCACTTATGTGCCGAGGCTGGCCTAAAGCTTGTGATCTTCCTCCTCAGCCTCCCAAGTTGGGACTGTAGATGTGTGCCACCACACCTGGATTTTGGTTTGGTTTTGTTGTTGTTTTGTGACCCTGGAGATTGAACCCAGGGCCTTAAGCATGCTGAGCAAGGGGCTCCCTTTACTGAGCTACATCCTCAGCCCCATTCTTGGTTGGGTTTTCTTTGGGGGGAGGGTTTGTGTTTTGTTTTGTTTTGTTTTTAGCAAAATAACAGGATTTATTACAGTAAATAGAAAGCAAAACTCCCAAAAAGGGAGGAGTTCCAAGAGAGGGATGCCAATGGATGGCTATTGTCTATGGGTTTATATAGATCTATAGGTTTAAGGAAGTCAGCCCTATGCCCAATCCCTGCGTAAGGCTCTCAGTGTCCACTAGGCATTCCTGCAGTCTTTAATCCAATCAAATATCGATAACACATTTTTCCTTCTTTGGTGAGGCTGTGGACTCCAGATCATATATGTCCTGATTTAAAAATAACCTTATGCAAGTTTCTGAGCAAAAACCTACTGCTTTACCCGGCAAAGTGGCACACACCTGTAATCCCAGCAGCTTGGGAGGCTGAGGCAGAAGGATCGTCCATTCAAAGCCATCCTCAGCAAAAGCAAGGAGCTAAGCAACTCAGTGAGACCCTGTCTCTAAATAAAATACAAAATAGGCCTGGGGATGTGGCTTAGTGGTTGAATGCCCAAGTTCAATCCCCGGTACAAAACAAAAAAATAAAAAACTGCAGCTTCTGTTTTTGCTCTGCTGCCCAGGAAGTCACCCAGGGGCCCATTTCCCTATCTGCCCAGCATTTTCTCTTCCTCCTAACTTCAACAGCACCCCTTATAGAAGGTGTCCCATTTACCAGAGCCACCATTAGAAGTAACCTTTGTTGGCTCTGTGGGAAGAACTTTAATTCATTCTAGACCTTTTAAGTAATTTTTGATAAGTTTTCTTTTCAACTAGCTTTGAGTAGGAAGAACGGAAATAAATATTTGGGTGAATTGATAGGGGAAGAGAACTAGTCATTGAGGTTTTTTGAGCCTGTGCCACTGCCACTCACCTAACTTGGTGAAACCCTATCTCAAAATAAGACTTTAAGAGCCAGGCGTGGTGGCTCATGCCTGAAATCCCAGTGGCTCAGGAGGCTGAGGCAAGAGGATCACAAGTTCAAAGCCAGCCTCAGCAATGACCAGGCAGTAAGCAACTCAGTGAGACCCTGTCTCTAAATAAAATACAAATAAGGGCTGGGGATGTGGCTTAGTGGTTATTTGGTGAGAGCTTTCTTGCTGAGTGGACTCTGCAGAGTACCAGGGTGATGCAGGACACCATGTGGCAAGGTAGAACCTAACCACTCTAATGCTAGATAAATACTAATAAATAGTTTTGCTACCTTAACAGGCTTGAAAAGGAGAAAGCAGAAATTGAACGCATGCGAAACCTGACTGAGGAAGAGAGGCGAGCTGAGCTTCGGGCAAATGGCAAAGTCATCACCAACAAAGCTGTTAAAGGCAAATACAAGTTTTTACAGAAGTACTATCACCGGGGTGCCTTCTTCATGGTAAGTGAAATGGGTATCAGAAAATTGAGCAATAAGAATAATTCAGAATCCTTTTTTCCTCTAGATGGAGAATAAACTGTCCTGAAATGTTATTTCTATTTCTAGCAGTCAACCTTCTCATTTGCTTTTTGCCTGAGAAGGATATAAATCCAGAAAAAGCATTGGGTTTGTAGAAACAGCAGCAACATCTGTTCTGTTTTGGCCTCAGCTCCCAGAAAAAGGAAATGATATGATAGAATAATTAAGAAAATGAAAAGAAAGGGATCTATGTAGATACTAAAATAATTAGGTTCCCCAAACCACTTAAAAATCATTATTTCAGCCAGGTATGGTGGTGCATAGCTGTAATCCCAGCAACTTGGGAAGATGAGGCAAGAGGATTGCAGCCCAGCAACTTGGCAAGGCTCTAAGCAACGTAGTAAGACCCTGTCTCTAAATAAAATATAAAAGGGGCTGGGGTTGTGGCTCAGTGGTTAAGCACCCTTCTCATTTCATAGCCAAATGAGAAGCTTAGATCATATAAAAATCAGAGTCTGTAAATAGCTATATATTAGTTCACACTTGGGTGGCCGTTTAGTTCACTTCATTCTGAGCTGACAGAAGGTGGCCTGTTAATGGTTAATTATCTGACCCTTATGTTGAATGTCATTATCATTGTTCTTCATATAAAAACCAAGGTCAAAAAAGCACTTTTGTTAACGCTGTGTAAAGTGACATGGACTTTTAAAAAATTATTTGAATTAGTACCAGTGATAATTTCTTAAAAAGGAAAAACAGGAAAGGCAATGAAATAATTGATTGCATTTATTACTTTTGATAGTATATGGTTTGTTAAATTATTTCCTAATGAAAGGAGTTTGTATCATAAAACTAGCTTATTTACCAGGCATAGTGGTACACACCTATATTAAGCAAAGGCAGGAAGTTCGAAGCCAGCATCAGCAACTTAGCAAGGCACTGTCTCTAAATAAAATATAAAAAAAATAGCTGGGGATGTGACTTAATGGTTGTGTACCCCTGGGATCAAATCCCCAGTACCAAAAAAAATTAAAAAATTTTAAAAACTAAGTTCCATGTTAAAACCCTCAGTTTTTAAGCACTTGTAGTTTTCTTGTCACTAGTGATGATAAATTATTTCTTGTATTGTTTCAAAGTAAGAAAGTAGTTTTGCCTAAGCAGTCAGCAGCTTTAATTATCAAGCTTTTCCAGGTGCAATGGCACACACCTATAATCCTAGCACACATGAGGGTGAAGCAGGAGGATCTCAAGTTTGAAGCCAGCCTCAGCTACTAGAGGAAATCCTATCTCAATATTTTAAAAAGGGTAGGTGGGAGTTGGCAGTTTAGCTTAGTGGTAAAGCACCCCTGGGTTCAGTCCCCAGTACTCAAAATAATCATCATATTATCATCATCATCAAACTTTTTTAAGAAGCAATACATTGTTGGCTAAAAAAACAGGACAGTCTTTTGATATATTCAAATACTGACTCTTCTTATCTGGACAAAAAGTGAAATTAAAATGGATTCTGGGATTAAATGAGGGATTTTTTCAGGCCTAAGAAGGAAGTAGATCTCATAAAAATTGGGTTCTTTTGTTCTTTGTGGTACTTGGGATTGAACCCAGGATCTTATACCTGCTAGACAAGCACACCAAGCTACATCCCCAGCCCTTTTTTAATTTTTTTTAAATGGTCTGAATTTCCCAGGCTAGCCTTAAACTTGCAATCCTCCTGCCTCAGCCTCCCAAGTTGCTAGGATTACAGGTGATGCACCACCATACCTGGCACAAAAACTGTTCGACTGGCTGGGTACTGTGCCACATACCAATAATACCAGCAGATCCAGAGACTGAAGCAGGAGAATTGAAAGTTCAAAGCCAGTCTCAGCAGTTTATCGAGGCACTAAGCAACTCAGTGAGACCCTGTCTCTAAATAAAATACAAAATAGAGCTGGGGACGTGGCTCAGTGGTTAAATGTCCCTGAATTCAATACTCGGTATACCACCACCACCACCTCAAAAAAAAAATTGGCCTTAGCAACTTAGCAAGACCCTGTCTCAAAATGAAAATAACTGAGGATGTAGCTCATCCTCAGTACAGTTTCTCTGGTATTGTGGGGAGGGGGAAGACTGGAATTTTAGGATTGAGGATCTAAGAGACCAATAGAGTGGAAGTCATGAGTAAATAAGTGCAACCTTCAATAAGTATCTACACTTAGGAAGGAGAAACAATATAATAGAAAAAAGAATATCATCTTCTCAAATAGGAATCTCTTGAAGAAAAGCTCAATACCCTATTTCCTTTGTTTCTTTGTTGCAGAATTTAATAAATTTGTGTGTTTGTATGGGAAATAAAATCGTAACACTGATATTCTTTTTTTATAGGATGAGGATGAGGAAGTATACAAGAGAGATTTTAGTGCACCAACCCTGGAGGATCATTTCAACAAAACCATTCTTCCTAAAGTCATGCAGGTATGGGCACTCTTTGTCAACATAAAAAGAAAAAGTAATGTACTGAGGGCTGGAGCTGGGTCTTAAGTGTTCAGTGATATAACTCATCATCAATCCTTCCCTTAGGTCAAAAACTTTGTGTTCAGTGATATAACTCATCATCAATCCTTCCCTTAGGTCAAAAACTTTGGACGTTCTGGTCGTACCAAATATACCCACCTTGTGGATCAAGATACCACCTCCTTTGACTCAGCATGGGGCCAAGAGAGTGCCCAGAATACAAAGTTCTTTAAACAAAAGGCAGCTGGAGTACGAGATGTGTTTGAGCGACCATCTGCCAAGAAGCGGAAAACAACCTAGGATTCAACTATTTATTCTAACTGTGGGACACAAGGAGATGTCTCAGCATCTGGTCCTTGACATTCTTTTACCATTATCACGTGGTTCTTATATCCACCTTACTGGACTTACTGCCGTACCTATTACTGGGTAGTCCAGTCCTTGAAGGTGCTTTGTGAGGTTTGGACTTAAGACTAAGAAACCCACAGAAAAGCACTATCCAGGTAGGAATAGAAGCTGCCCACTTAACAGTTTCTGAGAAATCTTAGGTGTCTCTGCTGTGGCTTCCCATATTTACTTGGGAGTATTCAGTTTTCTTCCATCCATCCACTTAGCTTGTGTCAGAAATGTGGGTGTATTAAGTGGAAAATGCAATACTTCTACCTTAGGGTTAGGAGTACTATACCAGGAAATCTAAGCTCATTGAAACCTGTTTTGCATTTTTGGTTGAAGGCAACTTTTCTAAATGAGTATACTTTTTATCCTTTTGTGTATGTCAAGAAATAAAAGATATACCCCAGAATTTTTAGCATAATACTGGAGAATAAAATATGCAAACTAACAAGTATTAACTACCTATTAACTAAAATAAAAGCAGGGAATTGTCAAGCAGAGGGTATTTTAGTTTGATCATCCCCTTTAACCTCAGAAACAAACTCAGAGCTAGGATTAGGTATTCAGTATCATCCAGATTTATTCATGTGTAAACACAGATATTTGATTTTCCTTCCTCTGAACTACAGCTGTACATAGAACAAAAATTAACTCATGAAATAGGGCATGTGTCTTATTGAGTCCAAATACCTACTATCATCTTGTTCTTTGTAGGGTGGGGAGCAATCCTGAGTAGCAATCCAGGACCATCCATCATACTAATTGCCATGCGCTTAGCAAAGTACCAAGAATTCTGAGGGTTTAAGAAATGAAATTTTACCAGTGGAAAAACTAAAAAAAAAAAAAATGACGAAGGGCACTGGGGATGTGTACCTCAGTGGCAGAACACTTATCTAGCATGTGTGAAGCCCTGGGCTTAAACCCCAGCACCACAATAAATGCAGACTGAGCCAGGTGCAGGGCTGCATGCCTGTGGTCTGTTACTAAGGAAGCTGAGGCCAGTAAGGAGGATTGCTTGAACCCCCTAGGCATCATAGTGGGACCCTCATCTCAAAAAAAAAAAAAAGATCTTTTCACATTCTTAAAATGCCTCACTGGAAGAATTACTCTGCTCAGGCTGAGGCAGGATGATCATGAATTCGAAGCCAGCAAATTAAACCCTGCCTCTAAATAAAATATTAAAAAATGGGCTGAGGATGTGGCTCAGTGGTTAAGTGCCCCTGGGTTCAATCCCTGGTATTAAAAAAAGTGCAAATATGAGTTACTAAACGTGAGCCTAAATATCAAGTTACTATTTGGAATATAACCTATAAACTGTCCTAGAACCAAAATGAAAAAGGGCCTTGAAACTCTTTTGGGAAAGCACAGTTCCCACTTGTTTGTCCACTCTGAGGCAGGAACCAGTCAAAGTTTTTACATTTACCAGCTCATCAGTTCTTACAACAGCCTATAAGGTAGTATTTACAGTTGAGAAAACAAGTTTAGCAACTGTGACTTGGCCAAAATTCTTGAACTTTTCTAGAAATGCAATGTCAGGGATGGGGATATAACTCAGTTGGTAGAGTGCTTGCCTCACATGCACAAGGCCCTGAGTTCAATCCACAGTACCACAAAGAAAAAAAGAAAATGGGAAGTCTTATAGTTCAGAATTCAAATCTTTCACAGATCAATTCTATATAAGGCCTCCCTGCCCCTCATATAATTAAATCTTAAAATAACCTTATTAGATGTCTACTCTTCCCACATTCACACCTTAGATATTTAAAATTCCAACTCCAGAGGCCTATGAACTGGTTTGGATTACTCCTACCCATACAGTGGCTCCTAGGATGTGCCTGTCCTTCCTAACTATTCATAAGCTATCCTGGAGACATGTGACTTTGGGTACACTAACTCTGCTGAGACTCCAAATGTACTCTGAATACTGCTAAGGGTCAGATTCATTAAGTGTTCTGGAGGGGACTGGGGGTATAGCTCAGTTGGTACAGTGCTTGCCTCACATGCACAAATCCCTGGGTCCAATTCCTACCCAACACTACCAAAAAAAAGTCTTCTGGAAGGAGGGATCGCTTTAATTCCGTATACTCCATCCTAAGTTCCCTACAACAAAAACTATATATAAATACACTTGATCCAAGATGACAAAACTGCAAAAAAAAGTCTTTATTGCAATAAGTTAACCCTGTAAATATGCCTGAAAAAGTACACATCAGTTGGTCAGAGCAATAAGAGCCTCCACCACGTTTCCCATGTGTTCCCGCAAGCTCCTCTCTGCTGCTGCTCGAGAAATCTCCATCTCTGTCATCTGCAGGAAAAGGATAAATTACGTGTTGACTAGGTCTTCCCAGAGACATCAATGTGCCATTAAACTTGACTCCACGTATTTCAGGAAACAACCCAAATTAAGCAGAACCTCCCCTGCCCATACACTAGTTTGGCATTACTACTCACTATCAACTCCAGATCTTCTTTCTTGATAGTGACCTTTGCCAGTTCCTTCTCCCTGAAAATATTCATGTACATTAGTCCTCATTCTCTACCTCAACCATAAACTCCTAGGAACCCAGGTTGTAAACCCTCGATCTGCAGGAACTGGTGAATAGAGTTAAAAGACGGCACCAAAGGCTTAACTGTGGTTTTATTTTTGTTGGGGGCATAAATAGCAACTGGTAAGAATGGCTTCGCACTTAAGACTTACCGTTCTTGTTTGGCTTTCTGCTCCCGAGACCTTCTATCTCCGATCACGGACATAGCCTATAGGAAAGCATAGAGGATCGGAACCGCTCAGCACAACCGCCACAAGGCTATACATGTTTTTCTTCCACGAAGAAGTGCTGCCAGGTGCTGTTTAATTCAATTCTGTGCACCTGAGGCCCAATTTCTATCAAGTTCTTTTGAGCAAACGAAGGACTTCCTAAGTGAGTTGCCAATTAATCCCAGGTCCCTATGCATGCTAGCAAAGCACTCAATCAACTGAGCTATATTCCCAGGTGGAACGCAGGCTTCTACCTACAGGGGTCCCTCTGCTCAAACCACCCGGACACACTCCCGGTCAACCTTACCGTCTCCAGATTGGAACTCTGGATCTCCTTCTCCTCCGCATAGTCGGTGACCCGCTCCAGGTCCGCCGCACCACTATCATGCTTCCGTGGCTTCTCGGGGGGCCGTTCGGGGCCGCTGGTCTCAGTTTCCAACTCCAGCTCCACGTCCCCCTCGGTCGCCATGTTGATCTCACCACGCCGCCGCAGAGCCCGGCTTCATGATAACATCCGGTGACAGTAACTTCCGCCCAGTGAAAGGGCGGGGCCTACGCTGGACCACACCCTCTTCATAACCCCAGTTCTAGAAGCTTCAGCGAGGAAAGGAATTCGTCTAACAGACTTCTTTTCGGGTTTGTACAGTATTTCCGGCAAGGCTTTCTTTTAGACCTAATCTGTCACCACTCCAGACCACCCCGGTTGACATCCTTCCCTCTTCATTATCCAGGAATAATCCCCCCACTGCACACCAGGAACTGTGTCCAACCAGGATGGAAGATGTCTAATCCTAACCCTATTAAGGATGCTAATCCCCAGGAAGCTACTCCCTAATCTAGGTAAAACAGTCTGAGTGGCCTTAGGTGTGAGGCCCTGAGAAGAAAGCACCTTCACAAGGGCATTTGTATTTACCACTTTCTGGAGATTTGTGTTCTTTTCCTGATGTCCCCATTGGTCTTTGGACTGGGCGACCAGCCCCAGCAAAGCAACAGTCCAATGGGCTGAAGTCCGAAGAAGCTGCTACTTTCTCATCTACTCTCCATCTGGTGGACCTAGGCCTAATCCCTGGGACAAAGATGGTGGGTGCAAAGTCCACCACAGGTCCCAGCACCTCCGTGGGCCTAGCACAGCAGCACAGTGGAGTCATAGTGAAAACCCCCTTCTGTCAGGTGAGAGGATGAATGGGCACATAGGCTTGATTTTTATTTATTTTCTTTGGTACCAAGGATTGAACTCAGGGGCACTTAACCCAGCCCTTTCTATATTTTTGAGACACAAAGTTGCTCAGGGTCTAAACTGCTGAATCCTTGATCTTGTGATCTCCTGTGATCCTCCTGTTGCAGTCTCTCAGACTGTTGGGATTATAGGAATACACCACCACCACACCCAGTATGGGCACGTAGGCTTGAAAACTCCCTTAAGCAAGGACTGTCTGAAAAATTGAAAGCATAGGATGGCTGAAGCTGGGTTGGAAAACCTGTAGAAGCCAATAAAGATAGGCATTCTTTTCTTCTCTATAATCTCTATTCTTTGCCTCAGTAATTGGCAAACCTCTTTTCCCATGTTCTCAGCCCCAGTTGTTTTAGGTCTAGGGAAAGGTCAATAGCTTAAGCCTGCACACAAGCTCTGTGATGAAAGCCTTACTGGTGGTCATTGGAAGACAATCCTAAATAGCTCAGAATCAAATTGAGAATTCCTATGGAAAAGGGAAGGGAAGGGAAATTTTTGGATTTCAACCTCATGGGTTAACTCACATACACATTAATGTTTGCCTTTCCTCAGCAAATCACCTTGTTGCCCTGTATCTGGTCTATCCCCAGATGTCCTGCTGTGGCACTGTTCCTTGTACCAGCGGCTGCCACTCTAGGAGGCCCTCTCTCACAGAGTCTACTTGTAGCCGCCTGTTCTACATCCTCCTTCATGTAGGGGCCTCAGCAGTTTGCTGCCTCCTGCTGTCAAGGACAGTGGTGGAAAGGGTCTGGGGTGAGGCACATGGGGTAAGTGGAAGGTGATAGGTTGCAAGGTGGGAAAATATGAGAAATGCTGAAATAGACAAAATTTGGATTGGGGGCAGGGAGCAAAGCAGTGGAGATACCAGTGAGAACTAGGTACCTAGCTTGAATTGATTTGCCGTGCTATTTCTCACCCTCCCTTCAGATCCAGATGCCCTCGGGGTTGTGTTCCCACCTGTTTGGTCATTCTGCCTGTCCAGTGCTCAGTGGCTCTGGGGCTGTGTATCGAATATGTGCAGGAACCGCCACCTTCCACCTGCTACAGGCTGTGCTACTGGTCCACCTCCACTCCCCTACCAGCCCACGGGCACAGCTGCATAACAGGTTTGTGTGTACTTTTTGGGCAGGGAGGGGACAGAAGAAAGTAGATACAAGGTGGGTAAAGGAAATTCCTGGATGAATAACACTGTAAAAATACAAAAAACAGGTTTAAGTCCCTGCTTCCACTGTTCTTGCTGTGTGACCATAAGCCAGATACTTATCCTCTTTTGAGTCTCTCATGTGGAGATAACAACGAGGGTATTGTATGCAAACCATTTGTAAAGTATAAAACATTGCCTAGATGTTATTAGGTGACTTTGAATTCAAATTTAAAGTGCAGTGGGCCTGTTCCCTCCCTTCCTTTACTTATACTTTCCATATTTTTGCTTTATTTCCCATTAGGCACTATTCACTCTCCTTTATTTTTTCTAAGTCTGGTTTTCTCTCTCCCTCCTAACCAGCTTCTGGTTCCTCAAGGTGCTGTTCCTGTTAGGTCTCTGTGCTGCTGCCTTCTGCATCCCTGATGAGCATCTCCTCCCAGGTATACCATCTCACACCCCAATCAGCAGTAGGCTAAAGGCTAACATGAAGAGTGGGTAGGAAGAGAAGCAGTGATATATATGACCAGCTACATTCTCTCCCTGGTGTCCATCTTGCAGCCTGGCATTACATTGGCATCTGCGGAGGCTTCACATTCATCCTACTACAGTTGGTGCTTATTACAGCCTTTGCCCATTCCTGGAACAAGAACTGGTATGGGGGCACATAACCCTAAAGGCTCTTTCTGGAAAGGCTGTCTGGCATTACTGAATTCCAAAAGGCTGAGCAAACTATTAGGGAAGGGCAAGTGGATGGGGGAGAGGCAAAAGACAGCAGAGAGGGGAGACACAAATCAAACCACATGTATGAAAATGTAAAAATGAATCCCGTTAATTTGTACAATTAACATGCATTAATTTTTTTTTTCTTTTTTGCAGTACTGAGGATCTAGCCCAGGGTTCCTCTACCACTGAGCTACACCCACAACCCTTTCTGATTGTGTCTTGTTAAGACACCCAGGCTAGCCTGGAAGTTACAACCTTCCTGCCTCAGCCTCCCAAGTAGGGGGAGAGGGGTAGTTGGGATTACAGGCATGAACAACTTAAAATACACTAGTCCTAACAATAAAAGGCTGGGTAAAGGACATAACAGATCACTGGGCTTCCCAATAAGCAGTATCAAAAATTCAAGAATGTCCTGGTGCGGTAGTATACACCTGGGCAGACTGAGCAGGAAGATCACAAATTCAAAAGCCAGCCTCAGCAATTTAGCAAGGTACTAAGCAACTCAGTGAGACCCTGTCTCAAAAAATGAAAAGGATTGGGGATGTGGTTCAGTGGTTGAGTGCCCTTGGATTCAATCCCCAGTACAAAAAAAATAAATTTAATTAAAGAGTGTGATGACTCTGGATGGGATGAGTAATCACACCAGTCTTCTGCAAGAAGGGGAAAAGTAATGGGTAAAAACAAGAGTTGGAGCTCTAAACCATTGCCCACCTCCCCCTCCTTAGGCAGACAGGTGCAGCCCAAGACTGCAGCTGGTTCCTAGCTGTGCTGCTGGCTACCCTAGGATTCTACAGCATGGCGGGGTTGGGAGCTATGCTCCTATTCCAACACTACACACACCCAGCTGGTTGCCTTCTTAACAAGATGCTGCTTAGTATGCACCTTTGCTTCTGTGGCCTCCTCTCCTTCCTCTCCATCGCTCCTTGCATCCGCCTCAGTGGGTATATGCCCTACAACATTCCAGATTTGGGGGTAGGGTGGCATGTTCTTCCAGTATTCTACCAAATTCCTTAGCCTTCCTAAAGGATTCCTAAAAGGAATCTCCTTCCCTCCAGTTATGGGAGAAAGAAGTGGATGTGGGGGTAGGAGTTAAGAAAATTACAATCCTGTAGACTAAAGCAATACCTATTCTCCACAGAGCAACCCCGCTCTGGCCTTCTACAAGCCTCTATCATCAGCTGCTATATCATGTATCTGACCTTCTCTGCACTGTCCAGCCGTCCTCCAGAGAGAGGTAAGGTCCTGTAGACCAGGACAACCAGTGCTTAAAACTTTTTTTGCTCCTGCCAAATACCCAGCTCTTTGTTCTTAACACCTTTCTCTTCTGTTACCCTTCTTCAGTAATCCTTCAAGGACAGAATCTCACCCTGTGCCTGCCTGGCCTGAATAAAATGGAACCCCCAATATCAGATACCTCACTAGCAGTGTTGAGCGCTGGCATTATGTATGCTTGTGTGCTTTTTGCTTGGTACGTAAAGGTGTGAAGGGGAAAAAATGATCAGAGGGAGAATGCCCAGGACAAGGGAAGAGAGTCAGGAGAATGTCTAGAACCATGGTTTATTTAAACTTTTTAGCAAGGCTAGAATGAGAAAAGCTCCCCATGAACAGGGACAGTTTCTAAGAATAGCACTGTCAGATGATCTTTATGAGATGAAGGGGGTGGGGTGGGGAGTGACTTGAGAATTTAAAAGTATGTGCAGATTTTAAGATTTTAGGGCCCTCACACAGATTCCTAAATTCGTTGAAAAGCAGTTCAGGGACCACAGCACCCTCATGAGGGTTACCAGCAGATTAGTTGGCAATAATGTCCCCAAACAATCCCTTCTATTTGGACCAGCTTGAGAACTCTCTTATTTCTCAGCAATGAGGCTTCCTACCTGGCTGAGGTATTTGGGCCCTTGTGGATCATCAAGGTTTACAGCTATGAGTTCCAGGTGAGGCTCAAGAGCTCAGTATCCCCATCATCCCTCCCCCAAAACAGACAGACAGACACACATCCTACCAACCTCTACCCAGAATGCTCAGATTCTAGCTGCTGTTACCTTTTATTGAGTACCCAAAATGTGCTAAGCACTGTGCTAGATACTTTACATACATATCTCATTTAATTTAATCCTCACAACAACCCTGTGAGGTAGGTATTTGCTCCATTTTACAAATGGAGAAACTGAGGCACAAAAGATTAAACATCTTACCAAAGTTTGCATAGCCATTTAATATGCCAGAGCTATAATTTGAACCCAGATATGCCTCCATTTCTTACACTAGACCAATTTTTCAAAGGGAAATTTCCTAGATTAACACCCTCATTCATTCCAAAACATGCTGCCTTTTGTTTTGCAGAAACCCTCACTCTGTTTCTGCTGCCCAGAAACAGTGGAGCCAGGGGATGGTGAGTGTCAAGTGAGGAATCCTAAGAAATGACAGAAATCAAAGAGCCCTCCAGAACCTTCCTTAAGTAGCTGGGGGAGGAGGGAACAGGTATTCCAGCAGCACTGCTTGCCAGCAGCTCTTCCTTCTCTGCAGGGCAAACGGATGGGGCAACCCAGCCAACTGACCAAGAGACCCCTCAAGCATCACCACTGCAAGCCCAGCATCTTTCCTACAGCTATTCTGCCTTCCACTTCGTCTTCTTCCTTGCTTCACTCTACGTCATGGTTACCCTTACCAACTGGTTCAGGTAGGATGGAGATGGGCTGGAGATACTCTCCTGAAAACCTAGCTATTTTAAGGAAAGAACAATTCAAGGCCATTCCAAAGGGTTCTCAGGAGACATACATAGGTCTTCCATGATCTGAGGGGAGGTAGATCTAAAGGCTAGGGCCCTGAATATCTTTAACAACAGTCTTTGGTTCCACAGCTATGAGGGAGCAGAACTGGAAAAGACCTTCACCAAGGGTAGCTGGGCCACATTCTGGGTCAAGGTTGCCTCATGCTGGGCCTGTGTACTACTCTATTTGGGCCTGCTACTGGCACCACTCTGTTGGACCCCCACCCAGGACCCCAAGCCCCGGCTTACCTTCAGGAAACACTACCATATGGCATCAGTATTACCAGATAATAGCCTCCAGTCTAAGTCCTTTTAACAAAAAGGGATTTCCTTCAGATTATATCTCTAGTCTTGGCTCAGAGGAGCTGACCAGTCCAGCTCAGTACCCTCAGGAACACAAATGGAGTTACTGACCTCTAGGCTTAAGTTAATACTATGTCGGAATTGGAAGAAGTGTTCATACACACCCTAATGCCCTGGGCAGAGTTTCTGACTCACTAGAGCTACCGTTATGTCTTCACACCAGTTCAAGATCCTAACTCCCAAATCAGCAGCTGCAGGAACCACTGCTAATCCCAGTAGACAGTGCGGCACCAGCCCTTTCCTGGTTCCTGAGCTTGGGGTGGGGGTGGGAGTGGGGGTACAGAGACCAACAAGGACTGAAGACTTGGATCTGCCCTTGGAGATAAAAAGAAAAATAAGCAGTTCAACCCTGGGCACAGGAGTACAAGAAGCCCAGAACATACCAGGGCCAAGAAAGAAAGGAGCACAGAGGCTACCCCAGGTTTTAACCCTGATCGTGAGGTCAAGGGAAGCAGAAAGACAAAAACCACCCTCATTCCACGAGGAATGACAGAACAGAAGAGAATGTGAACACTTGAGAGCAGCTGACTACGGGAAGTCGGTAAGCAGCAGAATTTTTTTGGCCAACTTTCAAGCAGTCGAACAAACTGAGGAAGAATGAGGAAGAGAGGCATAAACTTAGGTCTCGGAATCTTCCCACTTAGGCCCTTAACTCCATCCTTGGGATGGTGTTCAAGGTCTGGGTGGGGAACAAAACAACAAAAAATGTTTTAATTAAAAATCACAGAAAAGAAGTCTCTATACTTTTTAGAGGATTTCTCTACCATATAACCGGAATATTTGTCTAGTTGTCATAGTAAAATAAAGGCTTCTTCTGTGATATTTTACTTATTGAATCTACATATCCTCAATTCTTAAAAGAGCTCTCCCTTTTTGGTGGGAAAGGACAGTCATTCCTCCATCCCCATATCCCCCCAAATCCCCAGTCAAACCAGGCGCTCAAGGAATTACAAAGCTACTTTTAATACTTTGGGTGTGCCCCACAGGAATAAAAAACACTGGGAAGGGGTAACCCCCTCACCCCCAGGAGTGGCCCAGGGGGAGAGAAGCTACCTGAGGGTAAGGAAGCACAAAAGGGACCCGCTGCAGACTCAGGGCAAAGGGAATGCCATCGGTGCTGGGACCTGTGAGCACTACAGGAGGAAACGCGAGCATGGTGGGACTGGCTCCAGGCACACAGGCGAAGGGCAAGAGGGTTGGACACGAAGCCACAAAGCTACTTGGGTTCCTCCTTCTTCTCGTTTGCCTTTTTCTGCTTCTGCTGCATGATCTCCGAGTCCCTGGGGGTAGAGATGATGGGGCACTGGGAGGTACCAGAGGGCAAAAAGGACAAGATGCAGGGGATGAAGGGCACAAAGGATAAGATGGTATTGGATGGGACAAAGTTCAGCATGTGGCTGCTGTATTCCCACCCTAGGAGAACAAGAGAAATAGAGCTGAGGCTCAAAAGGCAATCAGTCTCCATCTGGCTGTTGCCCAAAGGGTCAGAAGTCTGGCCACACAGGCCCAAGGTGCTCTATTCTGTGCTGAGTACCACACCCAGCAACACCAGTGAGAAAGTTGGGAAAAGGGAGGAGAAACTAACAGCAAGGAGGGACAAAACTACTGGGCTGTCATAACCACAACTGTGCTTGAAATGTAAAGCTCCCTGCCCTTGCCCTTAAGGTCACCCAGGGGCACTCAAAAAATGAGACTTAGGGAAGTCTTCTACCCCAGTCCCTTCCTGCAAGGCTGTGAACTAACAATTTGGAGGGTGGAGAGGAAATAAAACCCTAGAGGAAGCAATAACGCTCTGCCTCTCACGCCTAGTCCAGATTCAAGTCCTAAGGTAGCTCTTTTTCCTGATATAACCCGTTTCCCCCAGGTCTCCCCTATCCCCTCCCCTCCCTGGGGCTACCTCTGCTTGCGGGCGGCAGCCGAAAGCCCGTCATCTCGGCGCTTTCCCTTAACCGAGTCGCTCTGCTTTTTCATATTCTTCTGGCGGGCGAGCTCACGCTGGTTACCGCCTAAGGAAAGAAGGTAAAAAGTGAGACGCCGGGACTGTTTGGACATACACTCTTTGCCTCCATCCCGGGCAAGAAGGATCCAACACTGGCATCCCCTGACCTCGGCACCGACCCATTTCGGGGCCTTGGCTGCTGGGGGATGGGGAAGGAAGGTGCCACGGGGCAGGTCAAACTGCAGGGGAGTGAGGACGGTCAGTCCGAGGAGCCTGCGGGAGGCGTGTTTTGAGTTTGAGGGTGGCGTAGGGGCCCAGACAGATGGTGGGTTTGGGTCCGTGGGGGATGGGCTGGTGTCAGGAGTAGGAGGCTCCGGGGCCTATCACGCCAACATAAGGCTTCTCAGACCGCAGAAGGTCAGGGAGGGCCGATTCCTAACGAAAGGGCGGGGGGGTGGTCTCGAGAAGTGGCGGTGGGCAAAGGGTTCGATTCCGGGCTCCAAGCCTGAGAGCAGCTAAAGAACGCTCCCGGAGAAGGGCCTCGCTGGGCAGCTCAGGGGAAGTCAAGGCCGACGAATCTGCCGACAAGTATAGAACGAACGGAAATAAAAGGGCAAAAGGAAAGGGGCTCGGTGCTCACGGGTCATGGCGACGGCAGCGGCTCGGCCTGCCTCCGTTGCGTCCCCTCGTTCTGTCCGACGTTGCAGGCCCCGCCCCCTTCTCGCAACGTAACCAAGTCGTCCCTTTCCTCCCCGCCCCTTCACGCCCGGGCGCCGACTCTCATTGGGCAGGAAAAAACACGTGGAGCCCAGGCCACGCGCTAGCCGGGGCGGATAAGAAGCGGAGGTCCGCAGGCGGAGCGCGCAGCGTGGGGCGGGGTTTCCCGGGCGAAGCGCTGGACCGGGACGGAGAAACTAGGCCGGGTCACGTGGGTAGGGTGGGGGTGGAGGGGTGCGGCTGGAGGGGTGCGGCTGGCGATGTGGCGCTCCCGCGAGCCAGAGCACGTGACCGGGCAAAGTGACCTAATGCAGGGACAGTTTGAGGTAATGACAAACTTGCGGTGAAGGAATGTTAGGAAACGAAGGGCGGGGTTTCGTGGAGTCTAGGTGGTTCGTCTAGCTCTGAGGTATCAGGGTTCTGCAACTAAACTTGGTCCTGTTACTGAGGACATTTTTCCTCCCCCGGTCACTTATTTGTACACTTGGGTTCACCGCGCTAGAAGAACACATAACAAAACACAATTCGGAAACCCCATCCCAACCACATTTATCCCCCTCCTAAAAACCTGCAGGGTAGAAAACCTCAGCCACATCCATTATGTTCTAAAACTTTGGTCCTGCTTATTTTACCACAGAATTTTTTTTTTTCCAATGCTGGGAATTGAATACAGGGCTCCTGTGTTCACACGTTGTACCACAGAGTTACACCTCCAGCTTACTGAAAGAAACTTTCAACGTGAAGATGAAGTATCTTGGAATTTCGGAAGACCCAAAATCACAAACTACAGTGTTGCATTAGGGGATACACAGACAGTATCCATATTCCCTCTGGTTTTTAAGACAGTTGAACAGAACTGGAAGCTAAAAGTAATCTCCTCATTCTTAGTTCCTACAAGACTGCTTACCACACCTGGAAAGTTCACTGGATAAAGGAAAAATGCTTAAGAACGTAGGAAAGGAGTGGTTGTAAACTTTGATTCTCCCCAACTAGCACCCACAGCAGAACTGAGTTGAAGCTGGAACTCTATACTGGCTTCTCAGTATAGGACTGATGGGAGGCATTAACCCTCAGTCAGAACCATCAATTTCTTTTATACCCAAGTATCACCTGACCTACTCGGTGTTATTAATATTTGTGTATCGATGTCTTTAATAAAGGATAAAAATGAAACTTCATATTCCTATAGTAAATTTTAAATGAATGTCACTTCCCCACAAAAGAAACTATATAACAAATGCAATAAAAATGAAATATATTATTTAGATCAAAATAATGTCATTGTCTAGGCTGGGGATATATAGCTCAGTGGTAGAGTGCTTGCCTAGGTGTGAGGCACTGGGTTCGATCCTCAGCACCACATAAAAACTAAATAAAGATACTGTGTCCATCTACTATAAAAAAAATTTTAAAAATGTCATTGTCAAAGGTTCTGAATCTGGAACCTGCCTTTTTTTTTTTTTCTTTAAAGATAAGATCTTGCTAAATTGCTGAGACTAACCTTGAACCTGCAACCTCCTGCCTCAGCTGCTGGGATTACTGATATGCACCATGCCCAGCTCCTCTTCCTTTTTCAGGTCCTTCTGCTCCTGTGGTAGCTAGTCTCTGAGATGACTCCCAGTGATCTCTTCCTCGTGATAGTCACACTGTTGTGCAGTATCCTCCCACTCTGAGGTGGTCTACATAACTGATAGAATATGTCGAAAGGAATGGTGTGTCAATTCCAATGCTAGATCATAAAAGATATTATGGCTTCTGCTCTACTCTTTAATCTCTGGTTCTCAGGACAGCCAGCTGACATGTCATGATGTTCTTCCCAGTGATGAAGAACTGAGGCCTCAAATCAATAGCTTTGTGGGGAGAAACTAAGGCCTCTTGCTGATATACACATACGTGAACTTGGAAGAGGATTCTCTAGCCCCAGGCAAACCTTAGATGGCTGCAACCTCATGTGAGGACCCCCATGTGCCAGAATCACCCAGTAGGCCTCTTCTGAGTTCCTAATCCACAAAAAAAAATGTGGTATAATAAAATTTGGTAAGCTTAAGTCACTAAGTTTTGTTATTTTTTATGGAGCAATAGATAAATAACATGCCTTTCTATCCATGACTTAATCTACTCCCTCACAGACCTCAGAGAAAGATTCAGACTTTGAGTAAAAAGACCAGTAAAAAGACCACCACCACCCCAGTCTCTATTTTTTCCCTTTTCTCAAACTATAGTAATAAGGGGTTACAACAAAAACGTGGAGGTGTTTCTCTTTTCCCCACTTTGCTCAAGCAATGGCTTTACCACACTCATGCCCAGTTCAGGGGCCTAGTTTTTGGCTACCTAAAAGAACATGGAGAGAAAGAAGGAAAAACTAAACTGTTTGAAATTTCTGCACTGTAGGGAGGCTAAACTGAAGGAATTATAGGAGATCCTGGAAAACTGTAGGACACAGGTCTTGAAGGCAGAGATCTTAAAGCTTAGGAAAAAAGTTAGATGGGTTGGGATGACAGGAAAGAACCATTAGAGGCATATACTCCAGAATGAGGTGAGAGCACATACCTGCATTTGAACTCAGTATCTTCGGAGCCTGGAGCAGTGGCAAACACCTGTGATCCTCTCTTAGGAGGCTGAGGCAGGAAAATAGCTTAGCTCAGGAGTTCAAGGCTAGTCTTAGCAACATAATAAAACTTCATCTTGGGGGCTGGAGTTGTGGCTCAGCAGTAGAGTGCTTGCCTAGCATGTGTGAGGCACTGGGTTCGATTCTCAGCACCACATACAAATAAATAAAATAAAGGTCCATCAACAACTAAAAAAATATTTTAAAAAAAGACTTCATCTCAATAGTCAATAAATACCTAGGGTGACTCCCCACTATAGTTAAGGCCACAGCTGACATGTAGCAGAGCAACAAGTTACGTGTAGATATGCCCAATTCCAGAGCCTGAACATAGATAGCAGGTCTCCCTAAAAAACAAGTCATCTTTTGCCTAATGGCCAGAGAGTGGGCTTTGGGATCAAACCATCTTTGGCATCAGCACTGCCACTTATTAGCCATGAGAACTTGGGTAAGTGACTTACTCTCTTTGTACCTCTATTTCTCCTGTGAAATAAGAATGCCTGACCTCCTTCAAGAGTTCCTGCCTGGGCTGGAGATGTGGCTCAAGTGGTAGTGCGCTCGCCTGGCATGCATGTGCCCCGGGTTCGATCCTAAGCACCACATACAAACAAAGATGTTGTGTCCGCCGAAAACTAAAAAAAAAAAATAAATAAATATTTAAAAAAAAAAAAAAAGAGTTCCTGCCTGAGGAGAATCACAAGTTCAACACCAGCCTCAGCAACTTAGCAGGGCCCTAGGCAACCTAGCAAGACTCTGTTTCAAAATAAAAAATAAAAAGGGCTGGTGATGTGACTCAGTGGATAAACCTCTGGTTTATCTGAGGTCATAAAAAAAAAAAAACAAACAAACAACAACTGCCTGGTCATTTCAGAGTTATAGTGTATAAGTGTGTAGGGAGTGGATATAATGTATCCACCCCACTCCCAGGAGAGAAGGAGACTGGAGATGGTTGCTTCTGAAGCAGCAAAATCCCCCATGTTTGATCTGAGCACAAAGATGGTATAGTTCCAGCCTGTTCTCACTAGACACTGAATCCTTGTAATGAGCAACTTTTGCTCATGAGATTCACCCATTCACCTGGTTTCTCAGAACTGTAGGGCTGTCTGCTACTCTTCCCACCCAATCTTTCCATCCTGCACCAACCTTCCCCCTTTATCCATCAGACCCTGCCCTATAAATCTCTGGCACATATCTAAATAGGCATGGTGGCACACAGCTGTAATCCCAGAAACTAGGGAGGTTGAGGCAGGAGGAATACAGGTTCAAGGCCAACCTCAGCAACTTAACCAGACTCTATGAAAATTAGTGGGATCCTGTCTCAAAATAAAAAATAAAAGGGCTAGAGATGGGCTCAGTGGTTAAGTGGTCCTGGATTCAATCTCCGTGCCAAAAAAAAAAAAAAAAAGGTGGGGGGATGTCAGTGGTAAAGTGCCCAATACCAAATCCTCAGTACCAAATATAAATGAAGCCAGACTTTGTGGCAGTGATGCACACCTGTAATCTCAGCTACTTAGAAGGCTGAGGCAGGAGGATCATGAATTCAAGGCTAGCCTGGGCAACTTAGGAAAATCCTGTCTCAAAAAATAAAAATAAAAAGGGCTGGGGATGTAGCTCAGTAGTAGAACACTACTGGCTTCAATCACCAATACCAATAAATAAAATAAAATAATACAATAAACTTAGTACAGGGTACAGAGTTAGAGAATAAATTAGAGATAATAAGTATAAGGAAAAAGAGAAAACTGGACTTGAAGGGTAAACCTACGGGTATCACCAGCAACAGTCTGACCACAACGCATAAGAATGAAGTATCTGGCTTCCTAGTCTCCAATTCCCCAGTCGCACCAAGCTGCATGGGTACCCTCACCCTCATTTATAGAGAGAGAGACCACAGAACCAGCCTCATTGGGAAAAAGTACACCAGCTAGAGAGATGAGTTGAATAGTGTGGAATGAGGAAACAAGTCCTCTTTGGCACCTGCTGCCTCCTTGTCACTTTCAGCAGCTCAGATAGGTGAAAGAGTGGAACAGCCCTGTAACCACTTTTTTTTTTGGTGGGGGTGGGTGGGTGAGGAATGAACTACTCAAAAGCACTCAATCCACTGAGCCACACCCCCAACCCTATTTTATATTTTATTTAGAGACAGGGTCCCACTGAGTTGCTTAGCACCTCACCATTGGTGAGGCTGGTTTTGAATTTACAATCCTCCTGTCTGAGCCTCCCAAGCTGCTGAGCTTACAGATGTGTGCCACGGCACCTAGCCCAGGCTTTTCTTATCAATTCACTGCACCCTAGACTCTTTCATTTATTTATTTGTTTATTTATTCCTCCTCCTCCTCCTCCTCCTCCTCTTCTTCTTCTTCTTCTTCCTAGAAACTGAACCCAGGGGTCCTTTACTTCTGAGCTACAACCCCAGAACTTTTTATTTTTTATTTTGAGACAGGGTCTGG